GTACTATGTAAGTATATACATATCAAATATTTATAATAAAATTTGAGCAAAGACATTGAATTATTCAGAAAATTACAAATATGGAAATGAATGTGAATAGGATTCAAGATGAAGTGTTAATCTCCACCTAACTTTTGATTCATCCAGTAACATATATATAACAACTTCACAATGAGTGAAATCAAAACAGTCTCGCTGTTACAACAAAAATAAATGATAAGTTTAGCTGAGACACATGAAGACACTGTTTGTGCTTTGGCGATCATAAAAAAGTTCACTTCTCTTCTCTCTCCTTTGCTACATGTGACACTCCAGTCGTCAGTTCTGCTCCGGTCTTAAACCCTGAACCAAAGCCATTTGCAATCAACACAGGGCTAGTGTGTCGGCAAACATACAGGGCCTGGTACAGTGAAGGTCTGCATGTGTAAAAACCATTGACTGTAAAGATTAATGGACGGAGCCTGAGTGCCATCAGCCGTCTGTCACAGCAGGGGGCTCCAGAGGCTCATCGGCAGCAGCCGCCATGCTGGAAATCCTGTCTCAGCCTAACTTTCAGTCAACCTAACGACAGACTGAGAGCTGGAGCTGAGGCGGGTTTTAAGCCTCTTGACAAACCGTTACATCACGCCCACCTGTCAATCATGTCAGCTACATGCTACGCCTAACTATCGTTAACAAGTATCGATCACAAAATCAAAACAGAGCCGTTTTTTTTAAATTCCCCCCCCCCCCCCCCTCCTGTCTGACAGGGATAGTCTCCCACTGTGAGGAGCATATGTGAACAGCCAGGTCAGGAGAATATCTGGAGCGGTCCTCCTGAAATGATCTAGATATTTTCAGGAGTGCATATGTAAAAAACGGCTTGTGCCAGATAATAATTAGCAGCCATATGGACTCTGTGTTAAGAATAACTACCTGCTGTAGGCACACATGGACGGACTATGTTGGCTCTTTCTATTTATGGGCTGCTCTGAGGCTGTGAAGTGCTGAGGGAGGTGTAGATGTTTCAGTTGTGGACTTCTAGAGAAGGTGTGTCAGTTGTGGACCTCTCTAGAAGTCCACAACTGACACATCTACACCTCCCTCAGCACTTCACAGCCTCAGAGCAGCCCATAAATAGAAAGAGCCAACATAGTCCGTCCATGTGTGCCTACAGCAGGTAGTTATTCTTAACACAGAGTCCATATGGCTGCTAATTATTATCTGGCACACAACATTTCAGTGTGTCCAAATCAGAGCCAGCGATGGGCACCTTGCTACTGATCTTTCTGTGGATCTGAGAGGCATCAGCTGTGAATAGCACTAACAATGCCCTTTATGACATCAGATCATGGAGCAGGACTGACGAGCTGGGTTCACTGCTGCTGAGAAAGGACGGACGCCAAAGTCCCTGTCAGACACCACATCATGTGGTCAGTAAGCCATCTGACTCCTTTAATGAACAATAAGGGGGTCTTATTTCTGGAGCGGGTTTCCTGCAAGTGATCATGTTGCTCCAAAATGAAACCCATAAAATCTGCCCTCTCTCTCTCCCCTTATCCTCTCAATGCTGTGTGTTATGGTTGTGAGACTGTTCAAATACCTGAAGGTGTGGGGGAGATACCATCACCAAGTAGACCATATGGTCAGCTTATTATGCAAATGCAGAGCATCTTGATGAGAGTCCACAACCTGACTGAGACACTCTTTTAGCCACCTCCACACATACACACACAAACACACCCACACAGACCCACACATACAAACAAACAGACAAGCAGCTTCAGATGCAAACACATACACACGCACATACACACATGCCACTTCAGAAACACATGAAGTGTGCACCCATACAATGACTTTTGTGCATCGCCATTTTATGTACACTACACACACTCATCCTTCACTTTCTCTCTCTTACATACACACACACAAAATCATCAAGCACAGACCCAATCAAAGTCCTGTAGTGACACCTAGTGGTCATTGTCGCACACTAAGTATTTTCATACCTACAACGTCAGCTTTTAAGACGAGTGATTGAATCTTTTTGTAGTTTTTTTTGCTGAAAAAGTGTTGTGACTTGCAGCCAAATTGATGTAAAATGTCAGCTAACCTCAGATTTCAGAGCTGCCCTTTTTTTTCATGCAGACTTTCTCCCAGTGCTACAGGAACAAAGATACAAACAATTGACCAAGTAAGCCATTGTGTCCTTTTACTGAATAACTGAATAACAGCAGGAAATCTTCATCATCTTCAGGATTTACACCAGTCGTGTGAGCTGGAAGAAGAGGATTGTTACGACAGGTGTGCCACTTTAAAAAATTTAAAACGTTTAATAGGGACTTCTGATTTTGTTGAACCATTAAGAAAAAGTCACATTTATTGATGCTTATTATTAAAAAAAACTAAGCTACAGCTTAATGACTATAAATACAACCAATGACATGAGGCACCACTGGGGGAAAAGAAGGTAACATAGATGAATGGGGAAACATGGCTTCTAATATCGCTAACACAGTCCACTCAAACAAAATTCATTTTTCTGGAAAGCTCTCTGCTGAAATGTATTTTTATTTCCTCTTCATTTCCCCCAATCAGAAATGAAGTGATTCACAGCATCCCTGCTGGAGGGAGTGCGGAGCAGCACATCATGTAAGTGTTTTTTGGTCTAGTCCATGCATCAAGGAGTAAACTTCATTGTTTTGGACCTATAGGGTAATTCCTAATGGCCTCAGTAAAAGGGACGCATCCTGTCCACATGTAAGTGAAAAGCAAAGTAGCAAGTTAAACAAGAAATGTACAAACTTCTGGCTTTAGAGGACTCCCTCCAAACATTAAACTCTGTATCAACATCATGAACTCTGCTGTATGGGAAAAGTTACTTAAAATCTTCAAAATACCTTTTTTCTGTATGTCTGGATGCATCCATGTACATTATGTAGTGTTTGTGTGAATTTTCCTTTCCATGATTGATCTGTCCTCACCTTTATTTGATTGACAGTGAAATTAAACAACAAAATTAAAGTATTTAAAAAAAATAAATGAACGGCCCAAAACTTTAATTTAAACCGACATGAATGTTGAACATGTCTGCAAAAATGAAGTGAAACCATGACAGTGGACTGTGGTGAGGTTTTCATACAACCACAGAGAACTGGTTTCCATGGCGCTGGACAAAATTCCGCTTTGAAACCGGAGTGAGATTACAATAAGAAAGATGCAAGACTTTTGACCGTTGCTAATCAAATCCTACAATAGCTTCTTTAAATAAACAAAGCTCTAGCCACTCTAATATACTCGACATGTTGGACTTGTTTATTTTGCAATCATGTTTGTTAAAAAGCATGTTTAGTACATAACCATTGTTGGGCCACGCAGGCTTAGGACAGTCAAACAATAGACTTGGGCCTGCACCCGTGGGAAGTCTCATTTGAGTGATTCACTGAAATCACAAGGAAGCCTAAAAGGACTCTTTATCCCAGAATTCCCTGCGGTACTTCACACCTACGTGTGACGTAAAGGGGGGACCGGAACCTGAGGGAGACAGGCCGGCAGTGTTCTAAATTCCGAGCTCGGATTGTCCAGTGTACGCATCTCAGTTTCTCGGAGAGCGTCAGACTATTACAGATTATCAGAAAGATAACGGTCTTATTCCGTCCTGCAACGAAAGGACATCAAAGGACATCTTTCCACTCGACGGAGAACCAACGAAGCCGCTCTTGCCTTAAGGGACCCTTACGTGCAAACGTACGTCTGGGGACTAACTCCACCACCGCGCCATTACGCACGTAGGCCACACCCACCCACACACAGAGATCTATTCACTCGCAGCCATCCAGACACCTCAGAGACAGAGATCGTGTAGGGCCGAACTCGGTCTCTTTTAGACATTAAGGCCACATTTAGGTCTCTGTTAGGTGTGCGCCATCGGAAAGGCGACCACGTGGGACGAAGTAATCTTCCCCCCCCTTTTTCTCTCCCTTTCATCCACACACGCACGCACACACGCACCCAGGTCTTTGTTAGGTTTGCGCCATCGTGAACGACCACGTGGGTACGAAGCCATCTCCCCCCCTCTCTCTCACTCACACTCACACTCACACACACACACACACACACACACACACTCACACACACACACACTCACACACACACACACACACACACACACACACACACACACACACACACACACACACACACACACACACTCACACACACACACACACACACACACACACACACACACACACACACACACACACACACACACACACACACACACACACACACACACACCTACATTCACACCCCTTCCACAAGCCTTTGCTTGATAATGTTTGTTGCTTAGATTAGTTTATAATAGTTATTTGTTTAATTAAGTTCATTGATTTTGGATTGATGTTGCTTTGTTTAAATAACTTCTGTTATAATTTAAGAGAGCAGTTGTTACATTGTGATATAAGCTGGGTGCGAAGGCTTTATGTACGGATTTCACACCTTCAATTTATTAAATATAGTTATTCATTATTAATAATATTAGTAATTAAATAACTAATTTGAGACTGATTTGAGTGATATTTTGGTTATATTTACCTGATTACAGGTTGGTGCCCCAAACGAGATTAAACATAGTTTAATGATACTTTATTTATATTATTAATAATTAAGTATAATTATTAAAGAATATAACCAAAGTTGACTTGATACAACCCCAACACCATCATCACAAGTTATAAAAGATGTTAAGAATCATTTTCTTTACCAAAGGTTACCTCTGGAGCAGGTTAAGTGTTTATCTTAGTTAATTAAAGAAGCCTTCCTCTATGGGTGTGTATGTGTGCACAACGTGAGCTCCAGTTGTGTCAGTTACTGGAGATAGGGTTGTGCGTGCAACGCAGTGTGAATGAACCTTGTACCTTTGAATTGCCCACAATAAAAACTGATGATTGAAAAACTTTGATTAGTCACAGACACACACACACACACACACACACACACACACACATTAAGGGGCTGAGCCTGACTGTTATGGTTTTCTATTTCATAAATTGGAGATAACAGATTAACAGAAGAAGTTACCTGACTCACTGACTGACGGACTGACGATCGACTCTGCTTTCTCACTTTTTCACTTTTAAAAAAGTCCATGGATAGATGAGTTTGGATTTCACGTTACTTTATTTTACTCGGAAAGACTTCAATCTCATTCCTGTGAGGAAAATTAAGTGTGCTGATTTTTGAGTTTGGAGGAAAAATTGCAACTTGGGAGCGGCCTGACGGTGGAGGAGGGGGAACAAAGCAGCCTTAGGTGGTGTTGGATACATGAAAAGAAAGATCTGATCCACAGAGAAAATCAAGATATCAAGGTGAAGTTTTATTTTATTTCAACATAATAATGAAGTCAAAGCTTAACAAGGTTTTAAAGAATGTCTATGTTTTTGTGTTTATATTTCACTTTAGTATTTTATAAATGTTGAGTAAAGCCATCAGAAGAATCGACACTTTTCTGCTCCTTGTTTGAACATTTTTCCTTTTTGTAACATAGATTCTACACAGGCCACCAGAAGCGGTGGAGTAGACAAGGAGGATGGAGGAACTGAAATACAGAGGGAAGAAGATTGAATCGAGACACCGGTAAAACCTCATAACATGTCACTTCTGCTTGATTTAATCTGTGACTGACGTTACAGAAGAGGGACAGAGTTAAAGATGTGCCATGAAGTTTATTTCAACACATTGAGCCCACTGAGGCCAACTCCCTGCCTCATCAGGTTTACACGATGGGGGGAACACAATATCTTTATCAATGTTTCCTCTGAGCCAGTTGAAGTCAGTCTACTTCACTACTGGGGATCCTTTCATTCTCATAACACACACTGTTATTATCTGTCTGTAGATTACTACAACATGGTTAGACCTGTGTGCTAATGGAATTAAAGCTAGGTGTGGAAATAACAATCAAATCAAACATTAAAAACATGTTTCTTCTAACCCACTAGATAATCATTATGTTTAGAAAAAGTTGTATATTATTATATGTAGCTCTATTAACTTTATAATATATATAATGGTTTGAAATAATAAGAAAGTAATTGAGGAAAGTTATCCTCATTCACTCACTGGATCATAGACTGTAAATGATGGTGGCCGAAGCCTGAGTGACGTCACATACTGGTCACTGCAGGGGGCTTTAGAAGCCCGTCGATGGCGGTCGCCATGCTAGAAATGTTGTCCCAACCTAACTTTCAGTCAACCTAACAACAGCTGAGGCGGCTACACCAAGCCCTCCTGTCAATCAGGTCAGCTATGAACCTTATTTTCAATAGCTCTTAATATTCATCAAATCAAAACAGATAAACAGTAGAGACAGATTTTTTTTTTTTAAATCACCCCCCTGTACAGTGTGTGTCGATCAAGATCAATGATCAACGATCAACGATTTCATTTTTTGAACTTATGCCTGTAAAAACAGGCTTTTTTTTATATAGGGTGTGTGTGTGACTTCCAATCCTTCTGGAGCCAGCCTCAAGCATACACTCAATGAACTGCATGATTTTGCACTTCCTCATTGGCTTAATTTTTCAACACTGGAGGTTGCCGCTTTGATCATATGCATGATTTACAGTATGAGAAAAAAAATGAAGCAAAGAAGAAAAGATCAAATTGAAGTGCTTTAGCTTAAGGTGTCCATGAAAGACAAACATGGACATTTTCCAACAATTTCAATGAGCAGAGTCACAATAAACAGTAATTGTACAAACAAAACAAGAACAAACTTTTTGATTTATTGTTTGTCTAAAAATTGTAGGAAAAACTTTAGTACATTTTGATGTGACATCCTTGCTATATTTGTCGTCATGGAGGCACATCGTAACAGCCGAACATAACCAGATTAATTATTGCTGAGGACGAGAAATTTTCCAGACTAAGGGGTCAAATTTGACATGTCATCACATTTCAATATAAGGTTTAATATCTAAAAAGAAATACATGTATGGCACCATGCATAGTTTAATAACCACTGAATAAATGCTAAGTTAATAGTTCGCTCTGTGGTTATTGTTTAGGGATGTTTTTATTAATTTGCTCACACAATGATGGAACATATAGTACAACATTTATGTGTAGAATTTACTGTTAGAGGAAGCGTTTAATCCCCCGGTGCACTGCTGGACTTCGTGTTTAAAAGCTCTTCATTTACGCTCAGCTTTCTTCTGTAAGATTAGAATAATTTAATGGAGAACTGGTTTCATTTTCAATGAATATTGCTGTGCTGTTTATTTATCATGTGTTTATCTATTTGACAGTAATTTCCGTGTAATGAAGTTGTGATAAGTGGTGCATATAACTTGTAATAAGATCACCAGTTGGGCAACATTGAAATGTAGCGAGGCTGAAACAAACAGTAGATGTCTGAGATGTCTGCTGGCAAAGATTTAAATAAAATGCTTTATTATGATATAAAAACTGTAAAGCAGACCCATGGTTAGACTGAAGTCTTTTGTTTTTTATTTGTACATAGGAAAGGCTTTTCTGGTCAAGTCAAGAAATTTGCCGTTCATTGCAATTCACACCTTGGGAGAAGGCGCACATTACACTTTGAGATGTTTATGAACACCATTTAGGTATGAAGAGACTGATCGAATGTCCTTCTACCAGGGCCGTTTCAGACTGAGCCAGTTGAAGTTCAAAATATAAAGTTGAGCGATATGTGAAGTGTCAAACATTAACTCTGAAGATTTTAATTGGTGTGTATTTGGGACTGACGTCATTCTGGTGCCAAGCTTGTTGCCACCCAAATTGTAACTCTAGATAAGAACAAGTCACAGTTTACCTTCTTACAGGATTTGTGAGATTGCACACAGCTTGCACTCTCGTCATTACCAACCAGAGTGGTTCAGGAGGGTTCATGCTTCTTCCTGACTGTCAGCGTGTTGAATGAAACAATCATTATGTGTGCTTCGTCCAGTCTGTGAACTCTTACTTGGCTTCGGGCTTGGGACCAGCTCAACAAGACTTCTTGTAGAGCTCTGCAGTGAAAGAACAGATCTTAAGAGGCAGTGACCATTGATGTTTTGATTCCAGGGGGTCTAGTGAACAGTGCAAGTGATGGAGAGTAAAAAAAGATCCTAAAATCCATGTCTTAAGTGGCATTGCTGCTTATTAAATAGTTTCATTAACAGTGTTCTGTGCTCCCATAATCAGCAGATTTCTCCATGACAACAATGTTTAGAGCATCTTTAGAACGCCCTTCAGACACAAAGTCACCTCATCTTCCAAACACACCTTCTGCCAGCGTGGCCCAGGACATAATACAGAGTGCATTTACCTGGGGCCTGCACCACGAAGCGGGATTTGGGGATAGCGAGGTAACTTCAGGGTTAACCCTGGGTTTTCAATCCTACGAAGATCGCTCACTTCTTACCTGGGTATATCGTCACGGTAACTTATGCTGCACACCTAACCTGCTCCGGAGCCGGTTATGTTCGAGATATGAGATCAACCTGTGGAAATCTCCGCACACTGACCAATCAGATCTTTTGATCGTGGATCTCCCGCAGCTGATCGAGAGAGGGGAGGAGGGAGAGAGACCCTTCATGTGTCCCGTATAATACCATTATAGTCCGCTAAGTTAAAGAGACTAAAAAAACACAGGAGCCTTTGAGTTGTGTTTTTAAGATGTTAAATTATGAATAGCTTCTTATGTCTTTGAATTATATCTTCATATTGAATGTTTAGTGTCTCCATGCCGCTCTGTCTGTTATCGTCAGAGCTGCAGCTGAAATATAACTTCTCAAACTGTTATACACACCACATGAAAGAGTCAGAACAACAAAATAAGTTAAGAGAAAAAAACATGAGTCAGTTCTAAGTTGAACTAATGATGGGGAAAAAAAATGAGCTGTAGTTTGCACAGTAATACTCGGTGATTTTTGTTTTATCTGCCAATTGTTCTCCCTGCATTTGTTCCCACAGCTGTGTAACTTTAGTCTCTGGGAGCCTGTTTGTCTTAAACATCTTTATATTATTAATAGTTAATTAGATATGACGATCTGCTGACGGGAGACACAGTTATGCTTGTGATAGGTTATATGAAGCTAACTCTGCCCCTTTTATGTGCACACGCTCTTGGAAACTAGAGGGTAATTTATCAGGTTGATAACCGGCTTCGTATGACTGTTAATCACGATCTCTTATGTTAGGGTTAGTGCGTATGATAATCTCACTTTAAAGTACAGGCCCCTGGACTCAAAGTCAAAGATGGCAAAGTGTTATCAAGGAAGACAGCTCATACCCTGATAATCACTCTGACATTAAACAGCCAGCAGTGGAGGATGGCAGAGAGACTGAGAGATACTGAACTGTTATCTTAGAAAAACAAAAACAATCTGGGTAGTCCGGGGACTCAAACAGCATTCATTTCTCTTGTTTTTTGTTGTTGTTGTTGTTGTTTCGAATCCAGCATGGGACCCAGACCTTATTTCATATGCACTACCCTTAATGCTAGGACCTGTTCTCCAATGCTTATCCAAACAAGCAGTTTACAGTATAGAGAAAAACTAACAAATATAGAATACAAACAAATGAATACCATTATTTGGAGTAAATTATTTATTATTTATTATTTACCATTATTTTTGTGTATACATCGAAGATGAGATTGGAATACGATTAGAAAACTTTATTGATCCCCAACAAGGAAACTCGTTTGCCACCTGGTCAATTCATACACACAACATTATCGACAGTGCAGCCACAGTTCACAACAAAATAAATAATAAACAACAATGAAACCATCTGGGACATCATTTACTGCCATGAGTCAGAAACACAACTAAAGATGTTCATTAAAATATCGGACTGCTGCAAGAACAAAGGACCCTCGAAGTCGTTCTGTGGAACATTGAGGCATCGCTAGTCGCTCACTGAAGGAGCTTTGGAGTCCATTAAAAACAAACCTGGTCAAGGATTGCATTGAAAGATCAAAACAGCTTTTGGTTTGATTATCATTCTGCATCAAACATAACCTCTGATAAGAAAATGAGGAAAAAAAGTACATGCAAATACATGCTGTCATTTGTTTGTGCGCACAAACTTCCTGCCACAAGTCATACGTCAGTGTCTCAAGTTAACGAGAATAATCTTGGTGCAGACAGAGAGAAATACACAGAGGCATGCACAAACACACATCCACTGGAAAAAAGGACCTAAAGGATAGGATCTTCATTTGGTCTCATTGACTTCCTTATAATAAGAAAGCTAGTCTATCGTGTTTCACCATCTTTTGAGTATAGAACCATTCTACACTGCCATATATTTACATATTCAAAACCCTGTCCCCTTCAGATTCAGGGCAGCAAACCAGAACATCCAGCACACTGAACAGCACATGCTCTGAATTCTATGTAAATGCAGACAGATACTGCATTTAAAAAATGTGTCAGCATACCCGTGAACAAGATGTACAAAGGAGAACAGAAAAGTGGTTTGTGTCCCTCATTGTCCGTTTCAAAACAAGTACATCATCACTTGATATCTCAATGGTTCTCATGCTACGTGTACGCCTTAATACATAGGATAATTGTGTTTTAAAGCTTAGGTAATTCACTGACCATGTGTTTATATGTGTGTGTCAGGGATACATGGGACCCGTTCCAGCTGAACCCAGTAGGATCGGAGAAGGAACAAAAGAGAATATGTTTCCAACTGGCCCAGTACCTGATGGCTGTTGTTGTGGGGCTAGCTGTCCTGACCAGTGCCGTCGTTGCAAAGGTAAGACTGTCTGTCTGTATCTCCGTCTATCTGTCCCTGCATATATTTCTATTTGTTTGTCTCCGTCTTTGTCTCTGTTTACTTATGATGTCGTCCATCTAAAGGGTTAAAGCTAACAATTGTGACCCACAAAATGTGAAATAAACCCATCCAGTCCTTTGTTTGTGGTCTGCATAAGTCTAACAAGAAAAATGAGAAAAATGCTCCGTTTCAAATTTGCTCCTTTGCTCTCAAATTTGACATCACAGTGGGATTCTGGTAAAGAAAATACCCTCCCCTTTTGTGTTGTCTCCGGCAGCCATGTTTTTCCAAGAGGACACGCTGGCGAGTTGCCATGCAAGCTCAATGCTGAACTCGTGTAGGCACCGGTTGGCACAGCCCCAAGGGGTGAGGGGGGGGCTCATTTTATTTAAAGAGACACACACACCAAAACGGAGGGCTCTGAGAGAGCTGATTTATACAGGGTCACGATTCATGTTGTATTTTGACAAAAGCACGGCACAGAGGTTTCATTGAGACCACAGGGGACTGTTTTAAAACGTGGAATAAAGTTTTAAGACTTGATTTCTCATGCCTCCACAAGCAATAGTCCTTTGAACATCATGGATACAAGTCAGAGTACAATCATCCTCTTCCTTTAAAAGCACAGCCTGAAAAAGAAGCCCTTTATGCAGTGAAATTCTGCCGCTGCAACGAAACAAAGAGCATAATGTTGAGCTTACAACATAAAACACTTTTTTTGTTTATTTCCAAAAAGACAACAAAAATACGGTCGTTTAAGTCCAAACAGGCTTTTCTTTACTTTTTGTGTTTTTCATTGCCATGTTGTTAGTGCTAATGTATAATACCTGGGCCTTTTTTGGTTACAGATGGATGAAACACTTAAAAACACCTTTATGTACCTTTGTCCCTTTCAAAGATATTTTGAGAGTACACTGACTTGTATTAGGGAGAGCTGGGACGTCTTCTATTGAAGGTCACGTTTCCCTTTTGGTTAAGCAGTAAGAAAAGTGTGAGCAGAAGAACCCGAAGGCAATCTTCACCCGTCAGCTCTGTATTCTGGGTTCAGATAAAAAAGGAAAGGAAGTCAACTCAGAAATGAAAAAGAGATTGTGCCTGAGCATGAGGCCATTCAAGAGCACATTTCAGACTGTATTTAAGTGATTAGTTAAAAAGTGAACAATCAGAAACTTTGCGAGAAAACAAAATAACAACTCAGGAATTTACCAGAGGTGGAGGTGGCTTTTCAATATAGCAAAGTATTGTGATATTTTGCGTGACAATATTATATAATCTCATGGCCGTCAAGTATCAATATTTGTATTATATTAATAGCAAATGTGCTTTTTTAATTTTTAATAGCTGAAGGGGTTACACAATTCATTTTGAACAAGTTGCATTGTTAAAAAAATACTGCAATTGTACAGTCCTCCAAACATGTTTGTAACATGTACAGTTAAGTACGACTGAAATAACAGTTTAGATTGTGAGGTGCATGCAGCCTTTTACAGGGTTGCAAGTCTCAGCATTTAAATGTTTCAAATCTCAATAATATCATATCGTGACTCAGGAATCGTGATAATATCGAATCGTGGAGCCTCTGGTCTCCCACCCCTTCCCACCCACCACAATTTACTGCATGCAGACCGGGCAACTCTTTGTTTATGATTTCCAGGAAAAGGCAAACAGTTAAAACCTACTGCCAGAAGGGACGCCAGAATCAACACAAAACTAAGAGTCTTTACAGTTACTCTGATCTGTAACTTTTACTGCTGTTCTTATAAAATGTCATTTAACTGCAACCCTTCCTGAAACTAAGGGTTGTCACTCCTTGAATTATATTGACAAACTTCTTGGATATTTAATGGGGGGAGGGGTTCTAAGCTTGTTTTCATTGTGTCCAGCAGCTCCCCACTTCTGTTCATTTTCTCTCTGTGTATCTTTGTCTCTTATCTTACAGATTTCATCTCCATTTTCTCTCCATCAATCTTTAACTTTACACTACGTGCATACTGCTTCTGACTCAGTTTCTTATTGATTTCTCATCTTCCCCTTTATTTCTTGAATATGAATCACAGGACTATGCTCGGTCATAAAACAACACGTGTAATATCTCTGTCTGTTTTCCTATGTAATCCAAGAGCATTGATCCCAGTTCAGCATGATTAACTTCCTTATTGGTGTGTCAGTAAATAAGGATAATAAAGCAATGAAATGTCCTAGGAGGAGGTCAACTACACTTAGAACTAAAGCAGGGAGGGACTGCCGGTAAATCCCAGCCTTCCTTATATTTACTGTGTATGAGACTACTGTTAAGGACTCTACTGACACTACGCTGAAAGAAAATGACAACAAGAAAGTCAAAAGTACACGTTAAGAATCTTTCTGAAATCGATATCTGAAGGAGAGAAACATAGGAAACATAAAACTGTTTGTTTTGAATCGTCAAACCAAACAGGAAAAGACACTTAACCCCAAAGTGCTCCCGCAGCTTCTCGCAGAAGACGAGATAAGCTACATGCTCAAGTCTAGGTAATGTTTTACCAATGTGTACGTTTGATGTTGGTGGTGGAGTTGGTCCCTTACACAGAAAAGCTCTAAAACCCTCAGAAGGGAGCCTAGTTTCTGAGGGATTGCCAGTCATTTCATTTTAACACTGTACTGGTAAATACTATTCAGTTCAATGTAGTGAAACAAATGAGTTTCTTTCTACCCGCTCATAATACCATTCATAATATCACAATCGCCAATTGCTATAGTGTACACTATAATCGCAATCTCACAATTTCACCAAACCGTGCAGCACTTTGGTAGATACAAGTATTGGTTTGTTCAACTTTCTCAGAGACTACCTTTGGAGATAAATCATTTGTGCAACTATTACATGACACAGCACATGTTGAGCTTTATTTTGGTTTCGTCTTATTCATCCAAACTCTGCTTTCCTTTAACATATTTTTGGTCTCTGTTCAACCAGGGCTCTCTCTTGGTGTTGTCAACATTGTCCAGTTCGCACTCATTGCGCAAAGATAAGGACAAACAGTTCTACATGCTGATGTTGGTTTTCTGCCTGGTCTGCCCCAACTTCCTGGTGTTTCTGAAATCCCTGTGGAAGTGTGCCTTCAAGAGCTTCGTGCAGCCCAACATAAGGACCATGTCTTTTGTACGTTTAATCATTTATTACAAAAACCTGCTTCACATGTAATGAAGTTATCCTGGTGAATCAAATTTACACATCAGCAATGCATGATTAAGCTATCACAACAACATTTGTATTTTTAGTCATTATATGAGCACACTCTTTGGTACATATATATATTGATGTGGGACCATTTTAATGATAAACACATGAACACAGTAGGGGAAGTACACTGCAGCTATAACTGCATTCAGTGAATCCATGTACAAAGGAGAACAGAAAAGTGTTTTGTGTTCCTCATTGTTTGTTTCATTCATTGCTAAATTGGGATTTGTCATTCTAAATCAAAACTGCTATCATGACGTAATGACATGAGTCCTTGTGTTTTACAGGTTTGTGCCATCGAGTGTTTGGTGTCTCTTGGCACTTCAGTCCTGGTGCTCGTGGTTATGCCTCAGTTTGATGTGTTGACTAACCTCTTCATCAGCGGAGGAGTCTGTATCATGTCTGCTGTTCTGCAGATCATATTTAGACTACAGAGAGAAAAATGGAAAATCCTATTCCCAGTCTGCTCCCTCATTCTTACAGTTGCAGGTAAAATTCTTTCCATTCGGCATTCCTGTTTTTCTTTTAATCAGGACACTCACACTTCTCCTATAATAATACAATCAAAAAGTGGACGGGTATCAGTAATGTTTCTAATGCCTAATGTTCAGTCCCATTAGCCCCTGCTATCCCAACAAAAAAAACAAGGAACATTTCGGAAGTCTGACACATTTATTTACTTTTTACACAGAAAAACAATATCAAATACAAAAGTTACTAGTTTATAAGCGTCACTTTCGCAATAAAAGAGGAAGTCATTAATCCTCTGTCTCATGTTTGTGGTTACGTTTATGAAAAAAAAGCTCTTTGTATAACACGAAGGAAAAATATTAGTCCAAATAATTATTAATAAACCTGTTTTATTTTACTCCACATTTTCTAGATTCAACTGGAGCCCTTCCATTCCCGAGCCTTGAACAAGTGTTTCAAACAGTTGAATAATATTGTCACTAGCTGATACTGTATGACAGGATTTCATGTTTTTACACAGAAAACAAAGGATGTAATATTAGTGAACACATTCAAAGAAAACATTGTTGAGAGATGCCAATTACATTTTTTAAAAGTAGATTAAAGGCTTTATATGTGATTTTTCACTCTCAAATATAATAGAAATCAAGTAAATCCTCTGAAAATAACTCTGTGAGTCATGACTGTCTACAATGAGTGTAACACCCGAGTCCCACAGTCTGTGATGCTTTCAGAGTTTTACGAGCTGTAGCTTCACTTTGTTCACATTGACGGGACGGTCGGCCGGCTCATCCTCTCGCGTATAAAAGTTGTTAAATTGAGGTACTAGAGAAAAGAAGAATAACATACTGTACTCACTGCTTCATTGAATGTCACGTAAGCGTTTTTAGATTACGGTCATTTCAGGTAAATTTACATGCAGTGTGAAGATACGAGCATAATAAAGATTGCGAGCATTAGCATGCTAACACAACAATGCAGCGCAAGTTGTTTTGGTTTCATGCTGGTGCTCAAGGGCGACATCTGCTGGATCAAAAAATCACATTTTCTTCCTTTAATAGAAGTTCAGTTGGAATGCTAGCCTGATTTTGTATTGAATTCAAACAAACACTCAGATGTAGGTTTCATTTCAAATGTATTTGCTCGCTTTGGAACAGATCAAGTAGCTTACTGCTGAACTATTCGCAGGTTACTGCCTCCTCATACTTGACTACTATGTCCGTGTGACATCATATGTGGACAGACAGAGCGAGGACTGCTACATCTACATTGCAGTTGGAATTTTTGCTTCGCTCCTCGTCTCCCTCTGCTGGTGGGAAAACCCACTGCAAGCCACTAACAGCATGCAGGTAATCATTTTTCCTAGATGTATTTCATTGTTTATCTTGTATCACCAACATACATTGAAAAACATTTTAATGTATCTGTCAATCCCATTGACACTACTGTAGGCATGGAAATATGTAAAGTTTTTGTCGTTTGTAGAGTGAATCATTTGGACTTTCATGATTTCTCCCTGCAGGAAAAGTTGTCAGAACTGGACGGCTTCAGGGACTTTGTGTTCGTCATCAGCAGTATCTTGAGGATAATAGTGATAGGTACTGTAATGATCTGCTGCATCAACAAACAACACTCAGAAATCATGCTGCACTGCTGACCAAAAAACAGCTCTTGAAATAAATGCATATTCACAACACCAAACACAGCAGCGTTTTTTCTCCGTGTTTAGACTGTCAAAATTGTATTTCAAACATTCACACCGGAGAACAAACAGCTTTCTGTGATGTCAGTGGTGCAGATAGATTTTGGAGGATGCTCTACAGCTGCAATTAAGTGTTCCATTTTTATTTTGGAATAAATTGGAAAGATGTGCTTTCTATTCTTCCCTAAATGCACTGTTTTATACCGTTATTAACAACAACCAAATATTATCTTTTTTATGAGTCACTGTTTTCGATTGCAGGAGGCGTATACCTGTTGTACCATGTGCTAATTGAGAAATCTATAATCTGGAAGGACTTTAACCTGGGGAGTGATGACTGTGAAATACTGAAAATAGGACTGGGGCTGTTTTTCTTACAGGTAGGTGGAGATGTGACTGTAAAAGAGAAAGATAAACAGCCATAGATAGGTTTAGATAGGTAGTAAAGTTTGTATGTGCACTAAACAAATAAGTAGGAACCACGATTCTCTTCTTCTGCTAATCTTGGAGGATAGACACACAAGACTTGAAGCCCTGATCAGGTGCTTGTCTTTATCTCCTAAAAGGTTCAATAAAGAAAAGTCACATCACTTTAAATATGTGTGTTAAAGGGAGAATGTGCAGATTTTACACATTTATAGAACAGAAATCAAGTATATCCAATGAAAAAGTCTCTGAGTCATGACTGTCGGCAATGAGTAAGAAGCGCGAGTCCCGCAGGCTGTGTTGTTGTCGGAGCCGTGTTTACATCATGGCTGACTCCTCCCCCTGCGTATAAAGCTGTTTTAGTCAAGGACTAGAGAAAATAAGAATAGAATAAAATACTCACCGCTTATTTGGATGTCACGTCAGCATTTTTAGATCACACGGTCATTCCGTGTTAATTTACATGCAATATGAAGCTATGGGATAACTAAAGTGTGCTAACATTAGCCTGCTAACACAACAATGCAGGCCAGAGGCAATTGCAGCTTGAGCAAAGGACAATTTATTCCGTCATTTGCGCTTTACTCCAGTCCTTCGTGTAAACAAGTGTAGAGGGGGGTTGGAGGTGTATGCTGGATGAGAGCGGAGGCTTCAGTATGGCGGAGGTGTCGCCAATGAGCAGTTTGATTTGGTTTCCTGCTGGTGCTCAATGGCGACCTCTACTGGATCAACAAGTCGCACATTCTTCCTTTAAGCCTTTTTTTTTGCTTTATACTTGGGCTGTTTTCCTGACTACATCTGAAGCCCACTGAAACACTCCTAAAACCAAAACACAGTCAGTCCCATGCCTTCAGATTTAACATTTTTGCACATTGAGATTCATCACTGCGGGCCAATACGTTTCTCTTCTTATTAAAGCAAACAGATAATCTGTTTAAGCACACACATTGTTGGAGAAATTAAAAGCAATGGCTTTTCATGGCCTCCTGATTTATGACATGCTTTACATATCTTGGCTTTAAATGGTTAACAGCATGTCGAGTCTAGATTAAAGAAGCGTCTTCAGCACTTGTGAAGTAGTATTTTTTACTTGTATTCAAATCTATTTAAAGGAGTGTGAAACACAATTTAGAATCTCCCACGTGCCCCCTGTCTTAGGCCTTCTGCTCTGCAGCCTGTCACTGGTTCGGTGTGGTGGCCTGTAAGATCCACGCCGTCAAGATGAGTTTTGCACTGCCCGTGTGTTGCACTGGACCTGCAGTGCTTCTGTTGGGACTGATACTTCTCATAACAGAGGCAAAACAACTGGATGGAGCTGACCACGGGAACATAACAGGTTAGTGTCCTGTTTTCTGTTGTCCTTCTTTTTTTTAAATGTTACTTCTCTGCCTTAATGTGTTTTTGTTTTATTTATTGAAGTTTATTCAAGTGTAATGACCTTTTTATTTCATACACAAAAGGGTGAAACAAATATTTTTACTCCTCAGCCATGTGGTAAATTGTGAGAAATGTTTAAATCTGATACCAGGGAGTTGTGTGATTAGAGTATTACCAATATCATGCAACATTAAGTTACTGTATGTTTCCATTGCAGAGTTTTGTGAAAGCTTGGTGTTCTTGAGGAATAAGAACTCAACCCCTGTGGTTTTACTGGAAATCACAAGAAGCATTTGTCGCACTTCCCTGAACAGGTACATGTTTATGTGTGAATCAGCTCGTAAAACACGAGTCAGCAGAATTGTACTTGTGGATTTCAGCCACTAGTTATAAACATGTCCCTATATGCAGATTTATAAACGTGTAAAATGTGAGTTTTTACTGGTGGATTCCCAGGAATGTGCTTTTTTAAGTAAAATGTCTTAGAAGTACCTATCATTCAACTTCCTGTTAAGAAAACAAGAAAACATTTATTCATTTCTTTTCCGACTGACAGCTACTACCTGCAATGGCCTTTTTCAATGCTGGCACTGGAGGGGGTGTGTATCTGGTCGGGCTTCGTCACATGCACCTACTATGTTTGGAAGATGGAGGTATAAACAAAAACACACAAACACACATTCACAAACACTACCACTGTCTCCATCTACATCAGAGAGGCAAACCCCAATCCTAACACATTGCAGAGCCCAATTAATAGAATTTTAAGTCTAATGGTATTTCACTAACCTCAACGCCACTTTTTCTGAGACATGCCACTAAATGCCTCAATGGTTTACCATGTGCAGGTCCAGCGTATAGAGAGAACTTCTCAGCTCTTTGTTCGACGCCTTTATGAATCTGCATTCATTGACCAGTCTCTGCTGCTAAACACCAAGATGAAGGTGCCACGAGCCAAAAACCAAGAGAGGTGAGAGAAGTCGGAGAGTCTCCCTTATTATTTATTTTGCGTCTGAATGTTTTGAATGTTTTATGGGTAAATTCAAGGCGACATCTTTATACTACACATTGAGATATGATTTATCTTAAGCCCATTGACTTCCAAATTTCATAAAAAATTAATATATCATTCTGAAGAAAATTTGCTTTTTTAAATTGAAGAGAGATGTTGTTAAAGATGAAAGAAAGATTATGAAATGGCAAAATAAATGCAAACTACCTATAATCCAAGTTTCTGCCTCCCCTCTCCTCTCCAGCCATGATGACTTACAGAGCTGTGTGATCTACCTCTGTGCCACAATGTGGCATGAGACCTACGATGAAATGCTGAAGATTCTCACTTCCATGTTCAGGTTAGAGACACCGTCACTGTAGGCCCCCTAGGCTTACTGTTATCAAAGACACAACACCAGTTTCCTTCCTTCTTCACATCCCTTTGAGAAACTTTAAAGGTCATGGACATTTCCACAGGTTAACTTTATTGCCTTGCAGCAGTGATGTTCAAGCACATCCCTGTTTGAGTGTGAATACAGGTGCAGCAGCATGAACTGATAAGACAGACCTGCAGAGATGTAGAAATGTTCAGAGAGGAAGTGTTACACAGCTTCTGAGCATGGTGTTATGATGCTCCTTTAACAACCACATTTGAATACATAAAATGAACGTGCTTCTGGTTGAGGCATTTTATGTCCAGTCCCCTGTGGTTTTACTGAAAATCACAAGAAGCATTTGTCGCACTTCCCTGAACAGGTACATGTTTGTGTGTGTGAATCAGCTCGTAAATAACACGAGTCAGCAGTATTGTACTAGTGGATTTCAGCCACTAGTTACAAACATGTCCCTATATGCAGATTTATAAACGTGTAAAATGTGAGTTTTTAACGGTGGGTTCCAGGAAATTAGCTTTTTTAAGTCCTGATATCAAGCGTGCTTGGGTCCCTTGCAAGGTGCTACATAAATCCAAGCTATTAGCATTATTAGCCTTTCAGATATTTAATATTGAATATTCATTCTCTTATCATTTCCCATTCGACATTCAACAGTTTGTACAAAATGAAAATAGTTACGTCAAAGGGATCTTCAGTATACAGCTTCAGTGATCTGTTGTTGTTTCAGGTTTGACCGTTATCGAGGCGATCCGAAGGAGGAGCATAATGACATGTTTGACTTTGAGTGTCACATTTACGTAGACGACGCCTTCATGACTGACGAGAAGACAGGACAGAGACTGGTTAATTCTTATGTTGAGGACCTGGTTCAAGTTGTCATAGAGGTTTACAGGTGAGATTATCAATCTGTCTATCCCATCTATCCATGTATCTACCTACAGACTTTTCTCACCATCTGTCCATTCATCTCTTCAGGGTATTTACCAACAAAGAACCAGATGATGTGTCCATCATTCAGGCTCCATATGGTGGCAGGTTGATGTTTGTTATGCCAGAAGGCAACATGCTTTATGTTCATCTGAAAGACAAACAGCTCATCAGGAACAAGAAGAGATGGTCTCAGGTACGAAGTTAAAGTGGTGCTTCTCTATGTCTAGAGTTTCCTGCACGTGAAAACACCTAAATGTGTCGTGATACAAGATGAGTATATGGGATGAAATGTACCTGCTTGCACATTCATCTTTGGCCCATTCCATTTGTGATGAACAAAGTCAGAGATATTTGTCCTCAATTTCCCCCAAATAAGAGGATGTTTAATTAATCATCACAAAGGTAAGGGGAAAACAGCTAATTCTTACATTTAAGAAGCGTTTAATAGTAATTCTGTATTGAAAGAGCTCTACAACCTATTAACCGTATACATAGAAACAAGCTTAGCCAACATGTGTGATAAGACATGTCTCTCAGATGAATACATTGAAAAAAGTCCTCTCTTTCCTACCTTCTGTAGATTTAAGCTCCTATCACACAGAGATGCATCGTGCTAGGCCCAGCCGCTCCAAAAAGCTCCTAAGTGCATCTGGTGGAAAAAAACAGCTGGGAGCACATGTGGCGTTGGTCTAGTGTGCATACAGGCGACCAAATGTATTAAGTGGGAAAAATAGTTTCAAGCAAATGTACAGCTTTGCCCTTGCTTTGCTCCGAAATGAGGAGGGGGGGAAATGTTATTTCAAGTGGAGGTAAATCCTCCTAATTTATTTGATTGGCTGTTTTGGCCAAAAGTGATATTGACAAGTTGAAAACAAAAAACAATGGTTTTGATGTGCGACGCATCACTGTTTGATCAGGCCCTAAAACTGTACCAATCTCTCTCACAGCTTCCTTTAGATTATCATAATAAACATCACTATATGTCACTTTCAGATCATGTATCTGTATTATTTACTGGGCTGGAAGGGCTACATCACCAAGAACCCTCAGAAGATCCAAGTAAGACTACTTTATGAAAGACTTGTACATGTATGTTGATGTTTTTGAGGTACATTCTAAATATTTCAATATGTGAATGATGTTTCGTCCAGCGGCAGAATAATCCCTGCAGAGCCAGTTTGTTCTCTTTGGATGGTGAGAGTTATCTATTGCCTCAACAAGAAACTGACAACAAAAGAAAGTTCATCGCAGACGACCACACATACCTCCTGGCTCTGGACGGAGACACTGATTTCCAACCCAAAGCTGTGATTCTGCTTGTAGACAGGTAAGTGAGAGACAACAACCAGCTGATTTAAGCTGTCAAGACTCAGAATCAAGATTTCATTTTCTTCCATGGGATATGAAGAAATGCTTTTGGTCAGGTTAGCTGTCAGTTTCAAACATTGCAATGAATTATTTCGATCCACAGGTTGAGGATGTATGAAAACGTTGGTGCAGCATGTGGTAGAATCCATCCTACTGGAATGGGTAAGTAGACTGAATATGTTAAACTATTCTTTACTTTGTGTGTTGGGCACAGTATCAGAGAGGGATTGGCCCTTTTAAGTTGAGGGTTTGATCAAACAGAGCTCAAGTTGAGCAGGCAAAATGTCTGCCCTGAAATGGTAAATATTGCATAAATGGGATTTCTTATTGTACGACAAGATGGGCCCTCCGTAGTCCTGCCATTATTTGGTGTAGTTCTTGATTTTTACCCATTAATAAGGTCTTTGTTAAGTTCTTTGCACTGGTGAAATACATACAAAAGTAAAAAAGTTGGTTTTATGAAGCTCGTTAGGCGGTAAAATGTCTCTGTGTGATGTAATGGTCCTTCAGCTGGAGAAAAATAAAGAATAAAACCATCCTATTTTAATTGAATTCCATCACTTTGTTTCTGTCACTCTCCTTACTGCCATCTAGGTCCCATGGTGTGGTACCAGAAGTTTGAGTATGCAGTAGGCCACTGGCTCCAGAAGACAGCTGAGCATGTGTTCGGCTCGGTACTGTGCAGTCCAGGATGTTTCAGTTTGTTTCGAGGGTCTTCCTTGATGGATGACAATGTGCTAAAGAGATACACAACAACTGCAACCAGAGGTTCAGAATATGTGCAGTATGACCAAGGTTAGCACACACGGACAGTCGGCACTCTCTTTCTTCAACGATAAATGTTCTCACATCTCCTTTGTGTAATTTGCGTCCTTCTGCACACTTCTAGGGGAGGATCGTTGGTTGTGTACTCTGTTACTGCAGCAAGGATGGCGTGTGGAATATAATGCGGCATCAGATGCGTACACAAACTCTCCACAGGAATTCAAAGAGTTTTATAACCAGAGGAGACGATGGGGGCCTTCTACACTGGCTAATACACTGGATCTTCTACATAGGTGACTTCTATTTATCATCAATGACCTTTCTTGGCTGGGAACTTTCTCAATCAACTAGTAGAAAATAAAAATGGAATCAGAATTTTGTTAGTTTGATTCAGATTTTGTTTTTCATGTTGTATAACGTTCAGAAGCAAATTTGCAGGCTGCAGATCGTTAATCAGGATTTAATTTCATGCTACGTCATACTAATACCAACTCATCTGTGGTTGTGACTAAAATGACAGTGGTGGAGAGACAGTCAAGAGAAACACCTCCATCTCTGGGCTTTACATCTTCTACCAGATGTTTGCTGTCGGTTCCTCCATCCTTGGTCCGGCCTCTGTGACTCTGATGATAGCAGGTAAGTCCAGGTCTAGATTTGAACTCTCCTTCTTTAGGGTCAAACCATAAACGCATGGGAACTAACAATGTTTATTCTCCCTATGTGACCCTATTTGTCTTATGTCCACTTATCTGTTTCCACTTTGGCACACTTAATCTACACTTCCATGAACTATTAGTCTGTGAGAGTCGCACCCTTTCTGCAGTGTCATGCACTTGGTGAATGGAAAAAATGATTTGTGATTTTCTTTCACTTAAAGTGCGTCGTTGAGTTTAATCTGCTGTGGATTGAATTATTTTAAAGAAACGTTTTTATATTATCTAGAAACCTTTAAGACAGATCAATATCAGTCCAAATTAGTTTGTAATTTCATCTGAAAGGTCAAACGTTGTTGAAGTCATTATTTCTACTCTAGTTACACAAGTTTAAAAGTGTATTACATGTACCTACTTTCTTATTTTGATCTACTGATTTGTGAATACAAGTTGTAGTAGCAGTCAAATTGTAAGATTTGGGTTAAAAATGTGTTACTTGAATTTTCATGCAGCTGGTGACATTTGGCAAAATGTCATCATCAGTTTAATTTAAGTATCTCCAAAGGCTGTTGTCATAGAACATTTCTGTACTCAGCCTCCGGGTGACTAACTGAATCCCCTCTCTGTCTTCTCATGCCAGGTGCTTTCCAATTCATCTTCAAACTCGCTGGTACACTTTCCATCATCATCGCAAGCATTCCTCCAGTGTTCTACATCATCGTGTGTTTTGTAGCCAAGCCTAATAACCAAATCACCATCGCCGCCGTCATGAGCGTCCTGTATGCGTTTCTCATGACTGCATCCTTTTTCTCCATCATTGGTAGGTTCAAAGTCTTCAAGTCTTTGAGGCTTTTTGTATCTGTTTGTGGGGTTGTTGTTGTTTTTTTCAAATTGTGGTTTTAAAGAATTCATCTAAAATCTGAAGAAAAAAAACACACCTTATTCCCCCTTCAGGTGACATGGTGGTTCAGGAGACCTTCCTGACCCCCACTGGCTTGTTTTTGGTTTCCATGGCAATCATGTACTTGTTGACAGCTATGCTACACCCAGAGGAGTTTGGTATGGTTCAATCTAATGATCCTCACAGTTTATAAGAACATCATTTTCTTTTTTATGTTAAAAAACTCATGTTGCTCTGTTTTTTTTTAATCCTGCAGGGATGATCATCTATGGTCTGATGTATTTCATCTGCATCCCCAGTGGATACCTGCTCCTGACCATCTACTCTCTGGTTAACATGCACATTGTGACTTGGGGCACAAGAGAATCCAACAAGTAATGCTCTGATCCCTTTAACATAGAGTTGTGCTACTTTTAGAACTTTAATATTATATTCATCATTGATTCATGTTTTTAATTCCCAATGATACAAATCAAAGAGGCAGAAAGTGTTCTTATCAGTTTATCCATTCACCTATAGCTTATCTTTTTGCTTATTAATTACAACGTGAAAAGATACTGACTTCTGAAAAAAATACTGACTTCTGAAAAAAAAAATAAACGATGTAAGTTTAAACAGTCAAGATAGCTGTTGTAATATGGAGTTTTAATGTGAAGGATAGAGGGAATAAAATGTTTGTGGGTCTAACAAGGGAACTTGTTGTTAAGGGCAACAACCTGAAAAATAACTCCTGACAGTGAAAGGATTTTTGAAAGGCCCCATGGCCATCTAGCGTTTTATTTGAGGCAGAATAGTGCTGACTATGCGCTCGGCAGTGCTTGCATGAACTGTGCGCTGAGAAGAAAAGCGCTCATGTCTGTCCTCTCTGTACGACAACATTCTGTTGCCAAAGACCGCTGTACGACCAACACGTCAGTCACTTTTTACTGTATATGTCTTTATTTAAGATTGTTTATTTCTGGTCCAGACGCAGAGTGAGGAGGATGTGGGTACAAGACAAGATCCGTAGGTGGCAAAACTATAGGGAATATCATACATTTGGTAAAGAGTTCCGGTGACTTCCACAGCGCCTTTCTGTAAAGTTGAAAGATTTTAAACTTGAGCGCTCCGAGCAGCGGCACAAAAAAGGCAAGCGCGCTGGACTCTGTGCTTTTTGTCCAGGCGGACACTTTCTGCTGCGAATGCTCTCTTCTCATTGAAAACAATTGAAGAAAAGACACTGGCACTCAGAAAAAAAAACGCTAGGTGGACACGGGGCCTTATGCAGGTACCGATTCTAGGGAGGAGAACTCCACTGATGAGGGACATGGCAGCTGTGAGTTTAGGGCTGAACATAGACCTAGTTCTCTAGATTTGTAGACAAGTAAATCAGAAAGTACAACCCACTCTCTGCTCTTACTGTGTTTCTGTGCTGTATGTTCTGCAGACAGAGCTGAAAGTAGATTATACTACTGACTTAGAGAGGTATCTGCTGGAAAAATGACACGAGACCAATATTTCTATACGACACCTAACTTTATTTTGCTAATTTTTTTCTGTAAAGTTTTCCCAGTGGCACATACTATAAAATGGATATATCTGTAATAGGCTACATCACTATTACTGCAAAGCTATACATCTGAAAAGCTCTTCAAAGAAGCAGGTATTCTATGACACACATGAAATGCATGCAGACATCCAGCTGTTTTCTGCTCAGCTTGTAGTGGGAGGAGGTTATAGATAACAAATGACTTAAACCAGTGTTTCTCAACTGGTGGGTCGGAACCCAAAAGTGGGTCACGGAGCCATTTCCAGTGGGTCACTAATGTGTGCCTGGAAAAGAATATAGTGTCAAAAAGTCTATGAAGCGCTTTCTCAACATGTTTGTTTTGTTTTCTTTGTTCTGTCACGTTTTGTACTGACTGAGGTCCAAACTGCACATTTTTTCTTTGAAGAAATCTGATTGGTTGAAAAATATCTTACATTTTGGTCGTGATTTTTCATGAAGGAGTTGGTGGTGGGTCCTGAGGCTAGACCAGTTGAGAACCAGTGCTTTAAACAGAGCGGAAACAACAGGTTTTCACTATTATTTGAGCCAGCCCACCATCACAATAACCCCTCATAGTATCTGTCTGTATTTTCATCTGTACGTTTATTTATTTATTTTGACTGTCCGTACTTCTCTCCGTCTGTCAGGGGAGGAGGAGAAGCTAAGAAGAAACACAACGTTCTGTGTGACAGAAACTGTCGACTCTGCTGTTGGGACATGAAGATACAGGTACTGTTACCAAGCAGCTACTGAGAAGCTTTCCACAGCATGGACAGATGAGTTTCATTGAACTTGTTTCCCCCCCTGCCGTTTTACAGATTACGCAGGAATCGGAGAATCTGATGTTTCAACAGATCACAGGCCAGACTTCACAGCAGGCCCCACCTCTCCCGGTCACCAGCGCAGAAGTAACTCATCCAGCAGAAGTAAAGATTGCGCTTCAAGCCATAGTGGACAAACGCAAAGAGGATTCTTTGGTTGTGGAACAGGCTAAGAAAAAGTACAGGAAGGAGGGAGAAGGCAGTAATGCTTCCTCTAGTAACAGGTAATATTTTGTCTTTTCATTGTAGTTTTCTGTTCATCATTAATACATTTGGAAACTAAATCGTCAGTCAAAAGGTTTTGTGAGTCAATGAACGTTTGGTCAATCAGCCAAACTGACTTATCATTTTATCTTTAATATTGACCTCAGTATCACATCCATTCACACACAATGCTGCCTGATGTAAAACATCAGAAAGGTTTGGGTTAATGTTCCTCTGAAAATCACATTAACTGTGACTACAAACACAACATTCACACAATGTCCTCCTGTGTGCAGTGATGACACTGTCGAAAAACGGAGCCTATCAGAGAGTTCATTTGACGAAGATGACGAGGATGACGACTTTATGATCGATAACATCGAGGATACAGTGGAGCTTCCTGTCAGCGGTAAGAAGTAACTGTGTTTGTGCGGATACCACATACTGTATTTTAGTCAATCCATCTGCGTACCATAACCATGTTATTTATGTGTGTGTGTATATATGTAGACTGGGTGCATCCTGTGAAAGAAGTGTTTTTAAAGAAGCTGACTTATGCCAACATGAAGAGAAATCTTCAAGCACAAATAAGGTAAAGGAGAGTTAACATTTCACAGAGAAACGCACACTATAGTATGAACTAATTCATCACATTCATGTCACAAAAAGCACAAATGTTAGACTGCCAAGAAATCTTGGTGCTTTGGGATTTTTTCTGAATGTTTGTGTATTTTATTCTTGCGCTAAATGAACTCAAACTGTGCCGTTGCTAATGTTGATATTTGCGATCTGTGTTTGTGCTTTCTTGTTCTCAGATACACACTCCGCAACAAGAATCAGGACGACGTGTGTGAGGATTTGGTCTTGATGTTAACGGACACTCTTAACAGAGAGCTGATTGGAGTGGGACCTGAAGATATTCTGTCAGATATCCAGCTGGAGGAGATACGTTATGCATTGACAAAGCAGGTACTACAAATCATTCTAACACAGAGACAAACCATTTGGTAGAAGTTATCATTACAAACATTGTAAATGGGCAGAAATACCGGAACAATTTGATCGCTCGTTTCTGTATTGATTTACACGTTTTTTTATATTTTACTTGAAAACACAATTGTATTGAATCACATTTAACAGCTTCTATTTCTGATGCTCGTGATTTAATGAGAACCAAACTCAAGTGCTTCTGCCACAAAAGGAAACGCTCAGTCAATGAGTCATTTGATTTCTCCTTCTCTAAGGCACGACAATTCCTTAAGACCAGTCAAATGATGACTTTAGAAAAGAGAGTGAAGAGAGCCATCGAGAAAACACTCACCGCCCCACAAGTGCAAAGACTAGAAGAGGTAAGATGCTGGTTCAACTCCTGAGTCTGTGACAAACAAACCAGTACTGTACGACAGTGAAAACTAGCCGTCTCTCACACAAGGTTGACAAACATGGCACTCTTAGCTCTGCTTTTCATTCATAGAAGTATACGGTATGTCAAGGTAGAAATAAGATATCATAAAATATTGATTCATTGTCATCTTTTAGGTAGCTGTAGTCTAATTTTAATAATTGCAAAGAAAGAGTTGTTCTGTTCCCTGCCACTTTTCCAGTAATGTAAATAAATCCATTACATGTGTGTTTGTTCAGGGTGAGCAAGACTTCTGGGAAAAGTTAATCGAGCGCTATTTGAAGCCCATCACTGACACTAAAGCACATCTAGACGAAGTCACCAAAGAACTGAAGTCCCTTCGAAACAAGGTCAGCTATATGCATCTACTGCTTGTGTCTGTGTCTGTTTTCCCGTCCACTTTTGCTCTGGTTCCAGAAGTACATTTTCCCCATTTCAAATCCTCCAATGACATTTCACAAAATCCTTTTATCAAGAGATTGACACATGGAAACCATGACAACCAGCTATCCAATACTCGTTACTATAGGACATTTGATTTCGCACCAAAACAGCATTGAAAAACGGAGAAAAAGGCAAAGGTACAAGACTGTGCATCATTTTCATCCGGAGTCAAGGAACTAACCATCCCACAATCCATTGCGAATAATATCTCTTCTTCTTAAATTGAACTTTTATTTGTTGTCATAGTGTTTATACTGTTAATACAAGTGTTGTACTATCTTGTGGTTTGTGTTGTGGAATATATAAATTACATTCACTGCAGCTTAACAAGGTAATTTGTACATTTTGTGTTAGTTAACTCACTAGATAGCAAAACTATCCATTCGCATACGGCACTGAGGGGCAGGAAACATTGCCATGGTAACAGTGAGCTCCACCCATCGGAGACGTGTCGCTGTGACACTAAGATGGTGGGTTAGTGTAGTTTTTTTTCAAATCGGCTGTGGAGAAAATGAATGAAAATGAATGGGATATTTACTTCCAGAACCACACTGCTGAGCCTTGTTGCTCTGAACTTTAAACAGTCTATAAATTCGGGTTTTATACTCTAGTGAATCCTTAAAACATTGTACAGCATAGCGACTGAGCCGTGCTGTTTACTTCAAAAACAGGCAAAGTCAAACATCAACATCATATGGAAAAGATTCTCTTTGTATTTAAGTTTCTAGGTGACTTGGACCACTGTTAAGGCAGTCACACACAAGGTGTTGCTGCACATGTAACGATAAAAACAGGGCTAAAAGTTCATCGGAGAGAACGAGAGCTCAAAAACCAATCCCCTCTCACCATCAGCGACAAAGTGCTGATTTTGACCTACAGAGGATTCAACACAGGAGGAACACAAGATATGCCGAATGTTTATTATTCAGAAAACATGCCTCAGCTAGGTTACTTTGCAAAGAATCATAATTGAAGATCTCCCTGGACGTTTATCTGAAAATATGTGTCATTTCTTTTAAGCAGGATGTTTCACTTCTTGGTCCACTCATTTTGCACGTCCTTATATGACAATCAGTATTTATTATTAATCTTATTATATTATATTCTCCTTCCTTTCACAGGCAGTCTTTCTGTATTTCATCATCAACTTGCTGTGGGTGGTAGCCACCTTCTTCCTGCAGGCCATAGGAACGGATGTCCTCAGCATCGAGATCCCTAAAGTGTATCCTAATGGATCTACTGCTGGAGAGCCTCTTAGGGTCAGGACAGAAACACACACTCACACATAGAGATACACTCAAAGGAGGACGGATCTTTCCAGATATAACTAACCATCACGATTGTCATTTTGTGTTGCCAGGTGGAGCCTCTCAGTTTGATGTTCCTGTTGTCTTTTGCTGTTCTACTCATTATCCAGTTTCTCGCCATGTTATATCACAGGTAGATACGGACAAATAAACACTTGCCACACACACACACACACACACACACACACACCTACTTATCACTTCTTTCAGCTTGTTAATGACGTCTTCAATGACCTTGAAGGTAAGCAGGTTAAATTGCAGTGGTTGCAAAAATCCTGCCTTGATAGAGAATCAATGATATTTCCATTTGATACTTGAAGCAAAGTTTTTTTTATTTTGTTCATCATTCACATTTCCTAACTAGTGTGTCATCTTGTTCGCTCTCTGTTTGCAGGGTCTACACTCTGATCCACGTGGTGTCTTATCGCAGCACAGAGAAGGACTACAGACAGAAAGACAAGGTCAGTTACAAAATAGTGCACATGCTCATACATTATTAGAATACACGTCAGGTACAAGACTTTTGTAGAGGCTTGATTAAATAAAGGTATGATGCCACTTGAGCCTCTCAACATCACAAAAAAAGAATACGAAACTTGAATACAAACAGAAAGAGTCAAGCTAAACTGGAATAATCTCCACCAACAAACCAATAGTGAAACATAATGACAGCTAGTTCAGACACCTGAATAACATAACATACAATTTATAAACTGTAAGTATACAAAGAAGCTAGCCAAGGACTACAATAATTGTTCTATTAGAAGCGGAGTGACAGTGTTAAATGAGGAAAGAAATGAAGAATACAAAGTTCTTCCTCAAAAAGTATATTTTGTTTAAAGCAGTGGTGTCCAAACTGTTTTTTCTTGCGGGCCAAAATTGTCGTGTTAGAATCGCTCGCGGGCCACAGGTTTTGTTTTTTAAAATATAGTTGAAAAAATAGTAAGGCTTTGTAGATCAGAATCAAAAGGCTCGCTAAAGAAACCCTTTAATAAAAGGAAATCAAATATTTTGATTTCTTTGTTCTACTTTATTTGTTTTTTTTCTCAGAATCAAGCCTGTAGTGGTTCATGTCTTTGGAAAAGCTTTCTGCATTTAGCTCAGGTCATTAAATGGTTAAACACCAGTCTGCTTGTTTGCAAAAACTTTGCATAAGTTTTTTTTCATAGTTTACAAAAAAATGTGGAAAATAGTCAAATCTGTAGATTTAAAAACAACAACATACATGTTACTGAACATTTTCTATTTTAGGACTATTGTTCAGCCCTTGTTATGAAAAAGAAAAATAAGATAATGTGCCAATCTTTATCAAGGCCTCGGGCCAAAATCTTCTGATTCTTCATTTGAAGCCACGGGCCGCAAAAAATCCCCTCAAGGGCCGCAAATGGCCCCGCACTTTGGACAGCCCTGGTTTAAAGACTTAAGAAGAGACAACATTTGTGCTCTATGAAATAAATAATAAAATAAAAAATAAAAAGGGTTTATTTTCATGAATAAATAAAATGGTATATTAATTCTGCCAGTGGGCCACCTATGAAATGACATAAGTGGCAGGAGTACCTTGAACACAACAACTGGTTCTATACGCAGACTTTGCATAGCATTGTTTTTTTTATTCAATACTAATGATACAGAAAAACTTATTATAAGAGAAGGGACACTAAACAGCTACATGACTCATGTTGACTACACACAATAGCAAAAAAAAACACAACCCAAAGTGTGTTGGCTTGTTATTATAAATTTGATATTAAAGGGTTTGATCCAAGCCTCAGCAGAATATAGGACCAACAACTATACAGTACAGTTACATGACACAGCTGGTCACCAGACACCCATAGAGAGAGAGAGAGAGAGAGAGAGAGAGAGAGGGGAGAGGGGGGGGGGGTGAGTGTGTTTGACTCACCTGCCAGGTGTTTGGGGAAGCTGATAACAATGCCACTTTTGTCCACTTGAACGTAACTTCATCTTTGCTAAGATATGAAGACCTGTTTTCACGTGATCAGGTACGTGATCAGTAGCTCGTCCTCCCATCAACAAGTCTTAAAAGTTCAGTGTTATTGATTTTATTGGGCTAACGTTAGCCATGATTCACTGCCAGCTCGCCACTAAAAAACCCACTGCCAGGTCGATATCAGCGCTTGTTTGTTTCATGTAGCGACTTAGATCAATAAAAGTAAAAACCACAGTGACTTCACTTCACAGTTAATATCCGTTTTTACTGACAGCAAAGTCGTAATTTGTGCGTAAAATATGAATGAACGGTGGGGCGCGCGTCCCATGTATCTGAGACTCTCGTCTCGCCTCCACCTGTGGCCCCCCTCCACATGTCATTCCCCGCTCTCTCTCTCCCTGGTTTCCGACTCTATCCACTGTCCTCTCTCTGCATTAAAGGTACGAAAAGCCCAAAAATAAATCTTTAAAAAAAATATATATATATGAATGAACGGGACTCCAAGTTCACCTGGACGTCCTGTCGGCGTTATTTTTAGGACAATTGTGTTAATTAGGCTGCTTCGTATATTGCCAATAATAAGACCTGTTTTTCTGTGTCTGTTCCTTCCCGTCACCCAGGAGGAGGACGAAAATGATGATGGCGTGGAGATCATTTCCAATGGACTTGCCATAACCGGAGATGACTTGTAGTCAGTGACAACAGACTACATCCAATGATAACAAATGACCAGTGTCAACAAGCCAGCAGATCTGTTATCACCAAGGAGCTGATAATCAAATACTTTAGACCCTATAACAATATCAGCATGTAGGGTACCCTGATTGTATAAACTGGTGAATTAGAAATCATTCATCAGCTACTCCGACTCCTTCAAAGTTAGAGTTGAATAAGATACAGTAACTAAGCAAAATGGGAATTTTTAAGATATCAGTAATTTTGTCTACAGTTTTTAAAAAGTTATTATTTAGACGTTAGCTCATGTTTTATGAACTAGGATGCATTAGATAATTAGAATTTTATTTATCCTATTTGAATGTGGTTGAAACCTCCAAGTCCAAGACTACATAAACATCCATGACGTCAAAATATATTGGGTGCATTTATGCTGAACAGAGAGCACATACCATTGTCCAACAATTTACAGATAAAAATGTCTTCGTATTAAGCGTACTTTACAAATGTATCTAAAAGTTTACAGAACAATAGACTAGTTTTTCATGTATGTTTTTAAGAATAAGATAAATTAGCTGGATGAAGATGAAAGTATATCAATTTTAAATGTCCAGGAAAATGGAGTTTCTTGTTAATGCAGGTTTTTTTTTTTTTTTTAAGTGAAAACAAATAATCAACTTCTTGAACTGTTTCTCCTTTAAACTGTGCTGGTTCCTCATAGATTTTAAAATACAATATTTGCACATAAATCGTTGTGAGGAATACCTTTAGATTTCAATGTCAAGCCTCATATATTCGTACCCTGAAAAGTTTCTGGTTTAATGCGCATAAGATTTGACACTTAGCTTTGTGTTCTCATGGTGTCAGTATCATTATGTTTACCAATTTAACAACACACTTTACAGAATCTTCTTGAAAAGATTTCAATCAAATGTAAACTACTGAACTGATTAAAATCATAGACTGTACATCCAAAACAAGTGTGGACAATATTAATTTCCCTTTTTTTCCCTCAAACTCTTTTCAAATGAAGTATATACCAGCCATGTTTCAATGTAACATAGGGATCATTAGAGCTATGTCTACAGATTGTGTTTCAATGGTGTGTATGTACAAGGTCTTAGTATATCAGTATGATTGAAGTTCTTTGCTGTTTTTCCACAATGCTGTGACCCTGTGGTATGACTTTAGTTTCAATTCAATCCAGGATGCTTAATTGGCATGAATGTGAATATATGGCCAGCATATAATAACTCAGAAATAATTAATGATTCAATAGCAACAATAATCTGCAAATATATTATAACAAGAGTAAAATCAGATATCTAAAAAAAATCTGAAATATAGTACACAACCAAAACAAAATGGAAGAAAGTTTAATTCATTGTTTAATAGTGTGTGTGTGTTTAACATTAGTGTTGAGTGTCTGTGCCTTTTTGTGTTTAAAATAGTTCAGTTTGTTTACAGATATTCAGGGCCGTGTGTGTTTAAATTGTGTTTGTGTGTATGTACGTGTTCAGGTTCCAATGGTTGTCCTCTGGTTCTGACATGCTGTGATACATTTTGCAACTATACCTGTATCTAACCTGAATGTATGTCGTCTGTACATTCAGGTCGGTCAAGGTTAAAATTGGACCAAAATGTTCCCGACATCAGTCATCATTCAAACTTAGTTTAAACATTCACACTTGTATAAATGCCTTTTTTTTTTAACACAGGCTGAAAAGAAGAAAATAAAAAACAACCTCAGTTGACCTTTTTTTTTAATGAACAAGTCATTTCATTCAAATGAATGGAAGCAAGTAGACAGTTATTAAATAGAGGCAATTGCAAAGCAATCATCCAATATATTTTTGGGGAGAGAGGTTTCATCCGAGGGTAAGGCAGCAATCAGACGTTGAGCATAACTTGTAAAGATCAACACCCGTTTCAGGGCGGGAACCTCCAACAAGAAACTGTGTCTGCAAATTCATAATGCATCACACCAAACGAGCATAGCAATGTAGTCGTGTAGACAGTCGTATGTTCATATTTTGTTCGGTCAGATCAGTGAGACTTTATTTTTACAGTAAGGCTCAAGTGTGATTGCTGCCACCGTTCCCCAAACACCCAGTATAAAAAGAGAAACGCCTTAGCTCAGACTCATGGGAGGACACATTCCCACTTCATTTTATGTTATGACATAAAATCAGGAAGTTTGACAAAAAGTTGATTTGCCAAAGCTTTGACTCCTATGCCATGCAAGATCTTGCAACTGAATAAAATTACAGAACAGGTAGGACCACGTCATCTCAAGAGTTTCAACTAATGTGCCAAATAAAGTATCAATCCATCAGGCACTACAGAAGTTGCTGTGTGTTAGTGAACCGTCCACAGAAAACCTGATATTCAAATCTTAGGAAATGGCTACATGGAAATATATATTCCCAGTTAATGTTTTGTTAAATTGATTTCCATAGAGCTTAAACCAGTTTTTGAAAGAGTATATCTTTTCATAATATTTGAGAGTTTTAGATTCAGAATTAAATCAGGATTGAGACTTCCTCTAACCGTCCCTCTCACTGACAGCAGATGAAAATCACTGAGTCTTATCAGTCCTCAGGTCGGCACTTTAATAATCAAAAGCCTGGCTGAAGCTGCGTTTGTGTCCTCCTCTGTTGTTGCCAAAGCCGCCACCACCACCGCCGCCGCTCCTGAAGCCGTTACCACGTCCACCGCCTCCCCCAAAGTTTCGGCCCCTTCCTCCTCTAAAGCCTCCTCCTCTATTTCCGCTGCCGAAGCTTCTTTCACTACGGTTAGCGAACTGCTTTTCTTCCAGCTCGGGGAGCTCTTCAGCTATGGTCACCTGCCAACGGCGGCCGTCCTTCCAGGAATCCTGTAAATAGGTCAAGTTTAAAGAAAAGTGTGAGCGGGACTATCAGGCTCAGTCAACCTGAAGAAGAAAAACTGTCATATTTTTATTTGACTTTGGATTTCACCCAAAGTCAATCTCTTAAAGACTATAATCAGGTCCCTAAACATGTTTAAGAGATGTGTGTTTTTGCTGTTGTTCTCACCTGAATCTCCTGGACTTTGTCAGCTGGGACATCAAAACAAACTCCCTGTTAAAAACACAGAAGGGGGGGAAATGATAAATGTTTCTGTCTTAATCTCAGTTTAAGTACCTGACGCTGAGCGTAAATGAAGACTTTTCACACATTAACTTGTTGCTTCAAGACATTTTGCTGTTTCTTTGCTCTGAACTATAAGTTGAGTTCTGTGTTAAGTGGGGTTGCAGAAGCTTAATTCTCCTGTGGTAATATAAGGGAGGCACGGAGAGGCCTCAACCCAATCAGTGTTTCCCCTACCATCATATGCGCCCCCCTAAAAAATGTCAACAAAAGAAATGTGTCTGGGTGGTCCCAAGAAAAACCTTCCTAACCCTCGACTGAAACCACTTACTATTAACGAACAGGAAGTGGAGCATGTGAGCTGCTTTAAGTACTTAGGAACTCTCTTAGTGTCTTTCGCCTTTACTGATCATGTGGACTATATTAAGAGAGGAGCAGAGACTTCTCCTGCTGCTTCAATTAAAGAACTTTGAGGACAGCCAGTGACCATTCCTTCATACATGTACCTTTAAAAATGGGGATCAGCATAATTGTTCAACTTTAACCTCAAGACAGCCTAGTAAGATCTCACAGTCTGAGCTGTAAAGTTCCTCGGTGGCTGACAAAAGGAAAAAATTATTTGTAAAGAGATCATTTTAGTCATACACACATGATCCTGTGGGTACATACTGTTTTTCCTTTGAGGAAGGTCATTCTGTGAATGTGGTTCTCAAACTGTTCTCCAAGCTGTTCTTTGATGGTCCTCCAAGCATAACCAAGATTATGCATTTCCTGAGAGCAGACCATCTGCATAGTAGTGAAACCCTGCAAAAACAGACACACAACATCATTTGGGTGTTGTTGGTGTTGTAAAGCACCAAAATGCAGCAGAAAAGAGTTGAGGATATAGAGATATATTTTGAAATTCATCTTCATCTTCATCTTGGTCCTTAGTGTGGATCCGAGTTATGTAATAAGAGATAAACTTCAAATCAGACCGTAGCATTCTTAGGTTTCGGAATGGCTGGTATAAGATGTTTATGATGAAAAACACGAGCAAACTCATTAAAACTCACAGCATCTGAGTTGAGCAGTGACCTCTGCTCCAGGCTCGTTGCTCCAGAAATATGAGCCAGGGCAGCAGCCAGTGCTTCCACAGCTCCTCTTTCTTCGATCAGCTTCTCAGCCGATGCTCTGAAGTAACTGATAGCTGTGACCGGAACGGAGTCTAGAAACCTAAACACAATATAGAAATACAATTTTAAAAATTGACTAGATTAATGTCAGGAAACTTGTTTCCAAGTGGTATTGTGCAGGGCCGGCTCCAGGCCACTCTAAAAGGTCTGTCACCACGACGACACTAAGTTGCTTTAAAAGGTAATTCAAGTTTTCAGTATGAAACAAGTGGTAGAGTCAACAGAGGAAAGATTTCAAAGTGATAAATTATTGGAGTCTATTGCTCCACCTGGCTGTCATCCTCCAGAAGTACTTACTTGACTGCATCCTTGCTCGATGACTTGATGATGTCATTGGCAGTGGGAACGCCGACTCGTCTGAATGTGATACCCTGGAATGATGTAAAGTGTTCTTAGTTCGATACTCATAGTAATAAAAAAAGATACGCACATCCCTCAGAGGGTGCTGGATCCAAAAACATGAACAGGTAAAGAAAAGCAAATACCATCTGCACACCATTGATAAGTGACATATTTATCAATAAATCCTTCAAACGAGAACTTCTTGGTATGCAGATCTTATTTAACAATTCCATTTAATGTCATATATTGTCATTTAATGCAATTTCACTGTCTCATCTCTGAAATTAAACCCTCTAGCACCTCTAATTTCTCCCCTTCTCTCTGTTTCTTCTTGACCTTTTCCATCTGGTATAAAGCACAGATGTGACTTTTTTGATTGAATTAATTATTTGAAAAGATACTTACTGCTTTGTTTTCTACGTGGCGCAGCTGGTCCTCCTCTTTCCTCTGGTAGAAACAGATGCAGACTCCAGTCCTGCCTGCTCGGCCAGTACGTCCTGAACGATGGATGTACGACTCCACATCCTGACACCAACCACAGACAAGGCATTAATTCAAACAAAGTAATGGAGACATCCTGTTCTAATAAAATGAATGCACAACCATTTACAGTACAATTTATGGAAATCTAAAGCTTTATTCACATTGAGGCAAAGTGACTGGAATCTGATTTTATTTGCTCCGGTGTGACTTCTTGTCATGACAATGTGAACAGCACAAGTCGAGTGGAATCTGATCTTTTCCGATCAGATAAGGGGCTACAGGAGTGTAATACAGGTCACATTAAAAAGTCATGTGAACAGCCAAACAACAGCAAAAAAAATCAGATCCAAGCAAAAACAAATCTGAACTGAGCATTAAGACTTGCAGTGTGAACGCAGCCTTTAGGATAACTGGTAACATATCAAACCTTTGGTGGAGAACATTGGACCACCAGGTCGACTTCAGGGATGTCTAATCCACGGGCTGCAACATTTGTGGCCACCAGAACCTCAAAAGCCCCATTTCTGAATCCCTTCAGGGTTGTCTCTCTCTGTTTCTGAGGAATGTCACCATGCAGGGACTGCGAACTCTGAAAACATCCAAACAAGATCAAAAGAAAGGCAAATGCCCGGTTAGCAAATACATTTGTCACAACTCCTACATTATACAGAATTCTTCATCTTTTTCTTCTTTTTCTTGCCATAAAGCTCAAGAGTTTAAGGAACGACAGCTCAAATTTAATCAAAGTTAGTAAAAGTTCAGAAGTGTTTGTTTACCTGTGTGATGGATGCATTCATGGACAGTTCATTGGCCTCTTTCTTCGTCTCACAGAATACGATGGTTCTGCCGTGGCTGCCGCTGTAAACCTTGATAACGTCACCAATCACGGCTGCACGCTGTGACCAGTGGCATGCTATGGCCAGGTGCTACAGAGGACAGAGACAGAAAAAATCAATAGATACACAGAAATCAAGGAGGAGCAGGATACGAGACAGGAAAGAGACATTTCCAGGAATCCAGCAAAAGAGGAGCACTCTCATCAGTTAAACACAGTAAAAGGTGCTCGACAGCAACAAGAATAGAAGCCATCATGGCTGATGAAGGCCTAGTGCCGAATCGCTTCCATCGCTGTTGTTGTTGCTGCCTTACCTGGATTAAAGAAACCTAAAGGACATTTGCGTGCTGACTTTTTGTCTCTTTCTAAACAATAACTTGTAGTCTCTTACAATCCCACTGATGCTGATGATGAGAAACACAGTAATCTTCTACTGTAAATGACTGAAAGGCTTTCTGGATTACAGTCTTGCTTACTTCTTCTGTCCCTGTAGGTGACTTTAAGAGTAAGCTATAACAACTAGAACTGCTGTCATTCTTGTTAAATCAAACCCATCACACACCCTTATTCTCTTTCTCTCAGTCACAAACACACTCACTTACTTCTACAGTTGTTGCAGCTTTCTGTGTTCTCTTGCCGATTAGGTCAACGTGTTTGCATTCTGGTCTCATGTACTTCTTGGCCACCTCGTAGACCCAGGGGGGGCAGGTGGCGGAAAACAGCAGGGTCTGTGGGTTGGAGTCGGAGTCTGGAGAGGGGCACATACATTTGTCTAACTTTACAAACATGAACACAATGAATTTTATTGACAATGACATATAAGATTTGATTATGCTTTCAGATCTAAGAGTTTCCAGACTGTAAAGGGAGCCTTATAAAAGCAACATGTTTCAATAGAAACTATGGGAAGTAGTTCATAGATCAAAATAAGTATCACTCATTTTTAGGGTTGTATTTGTTTGTTTTTTAAAGCCAGTGAAACATAAAATTCAACAGTTCCATGTTATGAATCACTGTCTCTCTGATCCTCTGTTGTGGACAGAGCATGACGCAGGATGTCAGGAGTAGCCACGAGCTAACCTGCTAATCTTGACCCTGTTTCTCACGGGAGTGGAATGGCTTCATTTTCATTTCCTTCCTCACTGGTCGTCAGAGTAAAAGCCTGATTTCGCCCTTCTTTACAATTAGTGTAAAGTGCTAGCCCTTCAGCTAACACTTCCACAACGGCGTGATATTGGTCACACACACACGCACATGCACGCACACACACACCAGGCGTTACACTCTCACTCTCTTTCTCTGTCCAAGTCTTCTTGACTCTGTCACTCCCTCTACTATAGCCTACACTTATTCATGGACCTTCTTACAAATTATTATTTTGGGAATTTTTTTTGGTTTTCTTTCAAGCCTTACCCCCCAAAACATGTATGACAGAAAGCCGAAACCACCTCGACATAAGGCAGGAAACACATAAAAAACATATCCATAAACCACAGAGGATGATTACACACATATAATACAACTGTCATATGTGTATTATATACACTACTTTCACAAACACACAAGGATTTCCTTTACCTTTGCTATATGATGTAGCCAAAATCTCTTCAACCTGTTCTGCAAATCCCATGTCCAACATTTGATCCACTTCATCCAGAACCACATGCTTCAGTTTAGAGAGGTCCAGTTTACTATTTTGGAGGTGGTCTTTGATGCGACCGGGGGTTCCAACCAAAATGTCGATACCATTACGGATGGCATCAACTGGAAAGGAGTGAAGGGAGTCATTATTCATTTTAATGCATGAAGCCTAGTTTTAAAACAGCTGACAGAACAAATCATTGCGTGGACTTACTTTGGGGGTTGTATGAGCTGCCTCCGTAGAAACAAGTCAGAGAAAGTCTCCTGGTGATGTCTTTGAAGTCTTTAGCGACCTGGATGGCCAACTCTCTGGTTGGAGTCAACACCAGGACCTACACACCGGCAAAACAGAAAGAGAGAGAGTCAGACTGATACTGGGACTAAAGCCAGTTTTCACGGATCGGTGTATAAATTTGTACCTTGGGTGCTCGGCCTCTGACCAGCGGCACTGTGTCCTTCTGGAGTTTCTCCACCAATGGGATGGCAAAGGAAAAGGTTTTTCCTGTACCAGTACGGGCTTGGGCAATTACATCTTCTCCATCATACACAGGGTTGAAGGTCTTCACCTGAATGTCAAACAGATAAGAGACTCCTCGAGCTGATGAGGCATCAGAGAGGGAGGAGAGGGAGACAGAGGGCAGCCAGGACAGGGAGAAAGGGGAGGATCAATCATTATCACATCCTGAAACAGCTCCAAAGTGTGTTAACACTCGAAAGTAGACTAGTTTACAGAAGCCCCTGATAAAACACAAATAATGATGAAATGGTGATCACAAAATGTCAAGCTTAAATGCTCATTGATTTAATTTGCAGATTTAAAAAGTTAAAAAAAAAAAAGATTTGGACATGAACAACAACAAAAGAAGATACATAAATGCAAATGTTTTACCTTTGAGCTTATCGATGGTGAACTGTGAGATACTGAAGTTGGAGAACGCCCCTTCCTTCTGCTCTGGAGTCAGCTCCTAAACGGATAAAGAAAATGAGCCTTCATGAGCATCATATTTCACTACAGCGGACATGAATTATTAGTACACTTGTAAGGATTGTGAACAGTAATGCTGATTTATTTATATTTTTAAAAGGTGGAAGAAAACTTGGTAAACGTTTGTATGAATGATCCAGGTCCAGGCACTCAGAATCTATCAGGCTAGCAACATTTAAAACACACCAACATGTGTCGGCTTGCACCTCCTTCAGGGTGCAGTGACACACTGACAAAAAGAGAGTAATTGTTGCTGCGGCCAACACAGGTGTGCACAGTCATTGCAACATTTTTATAGTCATACTTACTGTTTTGGAGTTATCTTTTGAGTCATTTAGTAAGTTACTTTAGAAATAATTCCACAAGCTTCTCAACCACCCTGCTGTGGCTGGGTGGGACCAAAAAACAGATTATTTAATGTACCGTCATCCTAACTAATGGGATACAATTATTTAATCTCTGCTTCCATATTGTATTTTCATTGTTTTGAAATGCTCTTAACAGATTTATCTGTCTATTAGACTCAGCATGTCACTACCCCATGACTCCTTATGGTTGAAAATAGCTGGATCATATTATGGTTATAGTGGTAACACATATAGCATATCGTATTGTGAGTTATCCTGCGAATCCCACACCTACTGATAGAAGAGCACATACAGTTTAACAACGCTCCAATAAAAGAGCAGAATCTCTCGTTCTTAGGACAAAACAGAGTCCTCAGTCAGTCAATGCTTAACTTCTCCTGGGAGGAGAAACTTCACACACAGAGTCTTCGAGACAGTCTTACCGGTTCTTTTTCACTGTCAGTAGCCGAGTCTTCACTGGACGGAGACGGTGTCTGGATGGGCGTCTCAACAGGGGTGTTTGGGGTGGAATGTCCGTTGGTTGCTTCCTCTGCTGTTGCTTTCTTTTGCTTCTTCTGTTTTTTCTAAACAGACATAAGCCTTTCGTTACTGTGGTCCTTTTCTAGGGAACAAACTCCCTGCTGACCGAAGGTCCATTACTACAGTTTCTACTTTTAAATCAAAACCTATCTGTTCTCGAAAGCATATGAACAGTTATTTTTTTGTACGTGTGTGTGAATGTATGATCACTTTTGTGGTAACTGATGTTTGCTTTGTTGTGTGTATGAATTATTAATGACTGTGGAAACACTTTCTTTCTTTTGTATGCTGTGTTTTAAGTTTGTTTTCAACCTCAATGTAAAGCCCACTGAGCTTATCTGTAATGAAATGTGCTGTATAAATAAAATTGCTATAAGAGTGGAGACATTGTTAGATAATATTGTCTACCAGGGCATAGCCAGATAATATACATTCATGTTTTAGAAAGAAATAATCTTCCACTTTATGTCCTTTTAAATATAACAGAACAGATGTCTCACTAAACAATTTAATAAAAAATAAATAAAGCTTGTAGGCTTTTTAGCCATCATATTCAGACTAACAACACAACACTCACCTCAGTGTCTGCTTCTGCATTCTTCTTTGTTTTCTTCTTTGGAGTTTCCACACCGTTAATGTTGCCATTCATGTCTGTGGCCTCTTCTGAGTGGCCATTTATTTGGTCCGCAGCCAGCTTGTCTTTTTTCTTTTTCTTCTTAGGAGCTGGAGGCTCACAGTCTGGGTTCTCCTGTTCCTCCTGTTCCAACTGTTCCTCCAGCTGCTTCTTCTTCTTCAGCTTCTTGCCCTCCTTGGTCTTGTTCTTCATTTATGTTCAAACAGGAACAATGAAAGAGAAAACCCTCGGTTAATCATATTGCAATTTCACTGACACGTATTTGTTTGCATTATTGAACTATTATAAGCTTAAAGAGGCTATTGAAAATTCAACTATTTGTTCAGTTATAATTAAAAAACACTACATTTTAACATCATTTTTAGTTTTCATCATACAGACATTGGACAATACAACTTACAGACACAAATACTCCACGTAAAAACACATGGACAAAACAAAAGACAAAAAGCCAGACATGGCCGTGACCAACACAGCAAGGCTTCAGTCTCAACATAGCATATGGCAAAGAACGTAACACGAAGATGTCACCAAGCATGGACTACAACTAAGAAGTGAAAGAATTAAGAGGTGTAACGACTGGGCCCCAGAAAAAAAGTTTTTCATTAAACCCATGTGAATGGTAACCTCACGTTCCTTTAGAATTATTATCTCAGCCACTAACGTACCAAACATAAGAGTCTGCTGCACAGCGTGTGGTCGTGGTAAAGAAGCCTGTGAGCAACCAAACAAGGCAATCAATGCATCAGGTTCAAACGTTAAAATAACAAGTACCAGCTCAATACATCCTGCCAAGAAAGGTACAATCTTTGGCAGGACTAAACAGCATGACCCAGAGTATATTTTGTTATATTACATGTGTCACAAATGTAAGCACCATGAGCATACATTTGGTTAATCCTTTCTTTAAAATTGTGTCATCTATGCGTAACTTTACACTGAATCAATTGCAACCTGGCATTCATTGGACCTTGGTGGATCCTTTCTATCCGCTCCCTCCACACCACCTCAGGCTACTCAACAAAAGGCCTCGCTGAACAGGCCAGAGTGGGAACTCTTGACTTTTTGTCTATCTCTGTTTTCTGTGTATAAATGTTCTTTGGTGGGACTTGTCTGTTTGGACAGTAATGGTGCTGTGGAAAATAATTTCCCCCCTCGGGGACAATAAAGTCAAAAGTCTACTCCCCATATTCATATATGAAAACAATAAAACAGAACCTGATAATGTTTTTGATTGTTTTTTTTGCAGTAAAATATTTTGTACAAACAAACTCATGAATGTTTACTTTTCCACATTTTGAGTGTAAGAACAACTATCTAACTGTAGAGGGCGTTCTTCTATTTAAAACCTGCTTTAAAACTTCAATTTAAAATAATAATTTTTAATCAAGTCTTCCCTAATTATTTTGACAAACCAAATAATATTACATTTGTTTACAAAACCATCACTATATAACATTTAGTCATTATTTGTGGCCATATAAAGTGTAAGGAAATTATCGTCTTATATTTCCCCTTTCCATAATGAGTCGTGTCTAAGTGTGTAGCACGTTTATTAAAACTTCAAAAGTCTTCCACAACATCGGTTATAAGTTTGATTGTTTCATTACTGTTGTCGCTTTATTTACTCGAGCACCAGCTGACGAGACCAGATGTAGAATACGTCATCAAGACTCGCCCACGGCGCAGATACTCACAGCTGTGAACAGCGACTTCAGGCCTCCACGTTGTTAAGCAGTAAATCCGTGTGGTGTACAGATCAGCTCACCAACACATGGGCTTCCCATGTGACCGTCTGGCTAGGCTAAGTGACTACGAGTGAACACTATTTTGTTGCTGGTTTAATCTTAACAGTTTATAAAAACATGTTTTAATTGTAAAGACCAACTCTGAAAACAAAATGTTAGAAAACAATAACTGTGTCGACGCAGGAAACTATCGCACTTTTCTAAGTTAGCAAAGGTTTCGTGTTAGCACGTTGAGCCACATGTTGTCAAACATGGAGCAGCCGGCTACGACGCCACACGAGCAACACAGATTATTTACCTTCTCACGAGGACACCGTCATTTCCACTCACCTTTAGGGGTTTAGCCTCCGCCACTGTGTCCACATCTTCATCCATAGCTAGATCTTCAGTCTCAAAGATGATTTTTGATGGCATTTCTCTTCCTTGTTGGATCCCCTTGTTCTGGACACACAGGCTTAACCACGGGCACGCGGATGGAAAGGAACGCGCCTTGCTGCGCGAGGAGGCGTGTTCACGAGCGAAACACAGACACACGCGACAGATAGGCGCTACAGCAGGGGTGTCCAAAGTGCGGCCCGAGGGCCATTTGCGGCCCTTGAGGGGATTTTTTTCAAATGAAGAATCAGAAGATTTTGGCCCGAGGCCTTGATAAAGATTGGCACATTATCTTATTTTTCTTTTTCATGTTAACAAGGGTTGAACAATATTCCTAAAATAGAAAATGTTCAGTAACATGTATGTTGTTGTTTTTAAATCTACAGATTTTACTATTTTCCACATTTTTTTGTAAACTATGAAAAAAAACTTATGCAAAGTTTTTGCAAACAAGCAGACTGGTGTTTAACCATTTAATGACCTGAGCTAAATGCAGAAAGCTTTTCCAAAGACATGAACCACTACAGGCTTGATTCTGAGAAAAAAAACAAATAAAGTAGAACAAAGAAATCAAAATATTTGATTTCCTTTTATTAAAGGGTTTCTTTAGCGAGCCTTTTGATTCTGATCTACAAAGCCTTACTATTTTTTCAACTATATTTAAAAAAACAAAACCTGTGGCCCGCGAGCGATTCTAACACGACAATTTTGGCCCGCAAGAAAAACAGTTTGGACACCACTGTACTACAGGGAAAAACGATATTAATGTTAAAAATACAATTAGAAGTAGGTTATAATTAAAATACACTACTGTAAAATAGGTACGGTTTAATTTCTCCAATAAGTCATTTTTTATTATTTGACAAATAATTCTATCTTCTTCCTCTCATTAATGATACTCAACAAGTGTACAAATTACCAAGGAAGGCTCAAATAAAGAAACTTAAAAGACTTAATTTTCTCTGATGAGAAAAGTAGAATAAATATAAAACTTGAAAGTTAACATTTAACTGTATGGATAACATCTGTCCAGCAGATGGTGCACTAAGTCCTGCTTTATAAACCCCACTTTCTAACGTGCACTATTGAACTGGCAGATGAAGCAAAAGAGCTTGTGCCCCCCTTGATTGGCCACCATTGATTCCAGTCCCCAGATCCTAAACTATGATTGGCTGTTTGCCTTTTCAGAGAAAGGATCTCAATTAACTTTTTGGGCTCTTTTGCAAGATAGCTTTCTTTGTGTTTCAATTAAGCACATTTTCTCTAGTTTGTTCTTTAAATTTAGAAATATGTAGGATTTTACTAGCAGACTTAAATTGTGACTTTAGACAATGAGTCCTTCAAGATTGTGTTAGTTTTTTAAGTCAGGATTTAAAAGTCTCTATACACCCCTGTGTGAGACTGTTTGCAAAAACCGTTATGGCAGATTGCAAAGTTAACATTGATGCAAGGCACTCATGAATTTTACCGGCAATGCTAGTGGTTTAATAAAGAAGACTCCTTGTGCAAAGAGACATTTAAGTATAATTGTACTTTGATGTCTTTTTGCAAAAAAAAACTGCCAGTAGGCCTACATGTACAAGTCTTAGATTACTAACTTAAAAAACACAATTCCCAAACATTGTCTGCAATGACATGTTACTTACAATGATTTTTAAATAGCTACAACCTTCACCCAGAAAGAAAATAGGATCATTTAAATACACAAATGAAAAAGTAATAAACAAGCTGGAAACACACATTGTCGTTTCACAAATTAAGTGTCATGTCTCCTTTTGTTTAAACCAGAAAACAGTCAGGGCCAGTTTTAGCCTAATCCAGACCAAACAAAGGCTAAAACTTTTAATTCTCTGAGTCTAGCTGTCTTCTTAAAGTCCTTCAGAGACAGGACCTGGAGACCAAAAGTTGAGCATATAAAAGCTTTATTCATCTTTCCAGAATCCAAAAGCAGTGAGCCCCTCAGCTGAAGGAACTAACAAAATCATCAAGAACATCCCTTTTTAAACCCCTTGAATGAGGGCGGAGAGAAAAGCTTCCCTCCACCTTTTTCTTTCATCCCAGTTGGTTTAGGTGATTTTTATTGGTGGTTGAAGGTGTCAATCTATTAGGCCCTCCTCTGGACTTTTGTGTTTTTAATAATCTGTCAGACATAATGGTGTCCGTCGTCGTGCCCGTGTTTGGAAAAACAAAGTCTTATCAGCTTCTCTGTCAAGGTGCACTTGTTATAATTTGTCCTTATTCTTTCCAGTAGAGCCGTCATCATATGCACTTGCTCATCCTTTTCAGAGGCCGAGCTGCTGTCATCTTGGCCTCTGATTTTACTCTCAGTGCTTCAGTTTAGTTAAGTATAGGTGCATTGCACATTAGCCTTAGTGGATTATGTTAATTGTCTATAATGTGCAGTACACACTGGTTCACTCTGTACTTTAATGTGAAGTTAATAAAGATATAGAGTCTACTGAGTAACATGTGATTACTTATGAGCACACAACACACAAGTATTGATTATTAGATGCGCACATCTACAGGGCACATGTCTACTGGAAAAGACACAAGTTATGGAGGCTTTGCATCTCATCCTTTTTTAAGACTCATTTCCCATATTTCACAGATAGTTATTACATCATGTCATACATTATAACTGTTAACTAGGGGAAAAAACAACTTTTGACCATATTTGATGCATTTGCATTTAACTTTATCTGTACTTCAGATATAATTTTGTGTTACAAAGTTTGAAGAAGTTGTGATATCCCAACCAAACCTACTGTAAGGGAGAAAGTGGTTCATCGAACAGCTGTTGCATGTGGTAGCCAAGGGTTATTAAATATGTTGGTTTTACGAGGTAAATGCTGTATATGCCTTTCCTATCGTATCATAAAACACTTTCAATGGGTCATTTTAGCGGTAAGCTTCATCCTAGCCAATGATAATGTTAGCTAGTTAAGGGCTGCATGCTTACATTAGCGCCTACCTTACAAGCTGACACATTTTTTCTTGAAATAATTTTGACACAAAGAAATGTTAAACATTCACCAAGAAGGATATAGGGATTAAATTAAAGTATTATAAGTATTAAAATAATTATTTTAATTAAATAGAAACAAATGTGCAGAAAAGAAGCTCTCCTTGATGATGGCCTAAGCCTTCAGAGTACAGGCGACCTATTTGTCTGATAGGTTTCTTCTGGTTTTTACATTGCACACACTCTTTTAGTGTTTTGGCCCTGAAGTGAATCTTCTGTTTAATCAAATTCTTTATGCCGATTTCACGAGTTCAACTTTGCACTGTAGCGGATTAGTCTGCTTTAATATATAACTCGGAGCAAGTAAGGAAATTAATATTCCTGTAGTAATTAATTAATCTATAAATCTGTCTCATATCATTGGGGTAAATTCTCAAGCAGTTCAAACCATAAAATTACACAAAGTATTGAAATCGAATATATGTGAAGTTTAATAAAGAAAAATGTTGAACGAAAGATGTATAAAGGGAGTAAATAAGCAAAGGATATAATTACGACAGTGATACTGACGCGACAGCGTAAATAATAACACTGTGAAGTGTTGTTTCTAAGTTGAAATGGTGAAGTTCTTATGTTAGAGTTGGAGTTAAAAGCGATATTGTTTGAGGGATTTTAAGTGGGGATTTGAGAAAGAAAACAAAAGGGACTTAATAAATTTGATGAAAGTTGATTTGAGGCTTTGATTTGGACACGACAAGCTTGACTCATCACACTCCTCTCATTATCGTAACGTGGTGTTCAACTGGACTCTGCTGAATGATACCAAGGCTCCCCGTCCAGTTGTTTCGGATCAAGGATGCAGGTCTGGTCGGAGTTGATGATGAGAGTGAGTGAAGAAAAACGCAGCGGTCCACCAGTCGTCCGTGGGTCCGTTTCTCAGGGGCTCAAAGTCTTATTTAATGTTCGTCAGAATTGAACGATCGTTGATCCTCACTTGACTTAGATGGTCACTTCTAGTCAGGGTGAGAATAGTGAAAATATAATGTTCTGGAAGATGAAGTGTCTGATGTAACCAGGACAGAGATAATATAAGTTTACAATGGGCGCATCAGGAAATAGTATCTGAAGGAAATTTAGGAGTCCCCTCAGGGGGAATGTTTACAATGAGGTGTTGTATAGGAGTATTGCGATATATGGTTGTGCAACGTGATGTTTTTATGACCCATGACGAAAAGCGGATGTTTGGATGCATATAGGCGATTGTCTCTGTGTGTTCGAGAGAGATCATTATTGGCTTCTTGATCCTCCTGGTCAGACGTGACCAGTGACGCTGTTTCTTGCTTAAATAAAATGATACTCTTTGAAAGCAAGTCAGTCTCAACGGCGAATTTCTTCATCATCAAACATATCAACAACAAGGAAATCCACATCAAAGACAAATGATCAGTACTTTAAAAAAAAAAGGAAAGAGCGGCGCGTATCTTAGGTTGTAGGAAAAACCTTAGGATGCGTGCGCCGGAAAAATAATGGTAATTAAGATGGAAACGAGGTCTGCAGGTCCCGCGATTCCGAGCTTAAATTGAAAGGGTTTTGCTTTGCGGCAGCAAAACCTGAAGAAAGCAAAGTGGTCCGAAACAAAAACGACTAAGTCAAAACAAGAGGACAGTTGTGCACGAGAGGCAACAAGGTAAGTGAAAAATAAAACAAGAGACGTCTAAGAGAGAGAAAGAAGACACCACCGTCTGTCAAAAAGCTCATCAAATTTGATTGATGGTGACCTTTGATTGTTTTAAAACAGCCTGATGGTTAGCATTTTGAATGATCTGATCTCTGATTACAGATGATGCTTTTGTTGACGTATTGTATTCTCATAGGTTAATATTTGTCCTAAGTTTCATGTGTATTTTTTTATTTTTGTTCTATGTATGGGGAGGTGGGTGGATATATCTCAATCTCTTGTCATCATCCCACATCTGAGAATGAGTCCGCAGTTACAGCTCCTTTGAGGCCTCTAACACATGAAGCTCATCCTTTGAGAGGACTGGTCTCATCTCCTATCAGGGGTCTATCTTTGGGGTCTACTCGACGTAGGAAGCGTCGTAGACCCAGATCAACTGCTACTGCAAGGAGATTGGTCAGAAGTATTTTTTT